AGAAAGTGATGCCCTCATCAACAAATCTGACGCTGCCTTAAAACGAAGCCGTGGACTGTAGCACGCGCACACCGGAGGGTGGGGGGGTGGGATGAGGGCTACTGTAGGGAAACACCCACCCTGAGATGCCTCAAGTTCACTCACAGTCACTCTTAATCTACCAAGACGCTCAACAAGTGTCACACAAAATGTCAGGTCACACACGTACGCATAGCATAGTGTCTGATTGGGCCCCTTGAGTGAAAATAACACACATGCAGAGTCCTGATAGCTGCGGCTCGCTTGGAGGCTTTTAGCATGTCATAACCTGCCACTGCGTACCTGAAGAGGGGATGAGAGTGTTTGAGAGATTTACATTAATATACACTTCTGTAATGACTTAATACAGATTATTCCATTTTTACTTGTTGGGGACAGCTATTTCTATGATTTGATTTCTATGAAAACCTAAAAACAGATGACTGCGTACTGCTTTTCAAACCTTTCGTATGCAGGTGAAAGTGAGCTCCTGTGTTGATACCAGAGCTGGGAGTCACTTTGTCATGTCTAATTGATGTCCTGAAAGCTAAGCTGATGCAGCAGGTGACAGAAAAGCCTGCAGGCACGCACTGATTAAGGCAAACGCTGCACCCAGAAACCAACATCAAATTTGTTCATTGCACGTATCCCGACATACTCTTGCACACAGTGGCTGACACCTGGATGGATTTATTTCAGGTCCACTGAATTCAAAAGCTTTGGTCATGTGAAAACCCCCCCCCAAAAAAAAAAAAAAAAAAAAAAAAACCCAAAAACTTCTGGCTGCTGCTGTAGGAGTGACCGTCTCTCTGACAGTGTTTGTTGTTTGTTTGAGGAGGAGCTGGCTTTGAAAAGGAAAACAGAGGTGCAGCTGCTGCGAAAGGGCTCTTTAAAAGTCGGTGAAGTACCGCCGTGAAAACGAATAACGCTTTTCATCTCGCCTCCTTTTCTCATTTGGCACACATTTTGTCACTCCTTTCTTTCTCTCCATCTGTCCTCTTCCTCCCTCTTTTCACTTATTTTCACTCACTCACACTCTTTCTCGTTCTCTGTGGAAAATTTAATGGCTTCCTGGGCTCAGAGCGAGACATTCTTTCACTGTGAACAATAATAACAAGAATAAGAGGCACTTCATACAACTCTCTCGTTCCCTCGCCAAGCGGGTATAACTGGGTGTGTATTCTGTAAGGCTGAGTGTGTGTCTGTATATAAGCATGTACACCACACTTGAAAAGCATTTGAAATGTTAAGACCAGGTACTAGATTGGTTAAGCCAAGTGGGTGAGCGCTTCATTTGTTATCATCAAAGTCTGCTTATTCAGTACTCAAAAGTAACTTGCACAGACAAGTGCTCGGGCATATACGCACTTCTGGAAAAGAAAAATGGAAAAAAAACACTACAGTGCAGAATGGATCGACTCTTTGTTCAGGTGAAGCTCGAAAATAAAAAGTGAAAAGATATCAAATGAAAGTTAATGAAATCTTGCAAGCAGCTGAAGCTGGATTGAAGAGAAAGGAATAAAACGCTGCAAGAAGAACCTGAGCTGGTTTGCACATTAAGGATTTTATTTATGGTTTTAGCAGATAATTGGACGGTCACAGTCAAACTCAAGTGCTTAGGAAAAGCTGTATATTGTCTGTGAGAATCTGCAAAATGCATGCATCCAGTGACAAGTTTGTCTTTTGTTTTTTTTTTGTTAGCAAATGTGACTTTGCTCTCCTGTCATCAGACACACTGACAACACTGGATGGAATCCGTGAAAGCAAGATAATTCAAATGAATGTTAGTGTTAACACACGAGAAGCATTGTGAAAGAAGAACAGTGGCAGAAGGGCCAAGACCTTTGGTCTCATTTAGCCTCCAACAGCTTCACCTTCTGCTCTCTACAGCTTGACATCACAGGGCCATGCAGGGCCAAAGAACCAGGGACAGGAGCCAGGGGCAGGATGTCACGTCAAACCCTGAACCCACCAGCCAAACCAGCAAGACTCTGTGGGACACTCAGTCCCAGCTTTGAGAACAAAGGAGAGGGTCTGACACTGGCCAGGCAACCCTCTGTTCCTGGCTGGACTCCAAGTCTTCAAGGACCCTTTAAGGCTACTCTGCAGGACCATGCCCAGTCTCTGGCACTGTTAAGAGTTTTCAAACCATTTCGCATGTAGCGTTTCCTTTGCAGAGATGTGACCTGGTTAAAAAACTCTCCTGCAAAATTGAAACCTGCAGAACAGTAAAGTTTGTAGCCTGACAGCCAAGTCCATTAGAGTGATGAAGAATGAGGGTAAAAGACAGGTATCGCTAACAGATCACAAAAAAAGAGCCACATGGGGCTCTTCTGCCCGCCTTCAGTGGCTCCCTGTGGCTTAAAAACACCCTTGATGACTGAGTTACTGTTACTAAATCTTTGCCTTAACTATATGTGGCCCACTCGTGCTTAGGTGGGTAATCACCCTCCAAAGACCCATTCTGAAGCAGGAAAAATGGTGGAACTTTTCCAGTTTTTTGGTAAAAATAACATTTTTAAACTAATTTTAGTCTTTCATAGCAATACCAAAGAATCAATTAAATAAATAGCTTCCTGCAAAATAGTCACATGTGTTAAAAGATTTAAACTACTTACAACTATTAATAATGTCAATGGTCTAATATGAGCCTCAAATATGTTTTGAGTATCCATACAGATGTTTTTGCTTAAAAACAATGTCTCTTGATATTCGAGGTTTCCAGCCCCTTGTGTAAAAGTATACAGCAAAAAAAAAAAAAAAAAAAATTCTCACAGTGCAATATAAACAATACAGTCCTACTCCTCAGGAAAATGGGAGTATGGCGTCAACAAGTGTGAAATTTAATACAGAAGAAACTGGTTTTACAATATTTTAACACTCGTCTCAGTGACCTGCCTTAGTAGAGCCTTTTATGCTTGCACTAACACTCTGATTATGTCATCATTACCACATGCAGACAGTACTCAAGGTGGAAATGGGAAATGCTTAGATCTCTTAGATTATTCGGTACATAGTAAAAAACAAACAAACAAACAAACAAACATTAATCATATATCACCTCAAAAAGCTCAGATTCTGGGTGTGAAAAACAACAACTCAGCATAAAACATGACAAAGGCCCAAATGGAGGGGCAGAAAAACTAAAGGAAAAGTCACAGTAAGTAATGGGAACAGAGGCTTTCTAGAAAAAGTGGCAAGGATGAAAAGAAGGGAGGGAAAGGTGTGCAAAATAGAGAGAGGAAGTTGTGTTCATGGGGTGTGAGTGGTGTCCAGCACAGTTCAGGAGCTGGTGTGTTTTTCTTCAAAGAAGCCGAGAGGCAGCGCTGAGATCCAGAAACCAGTAAACCTTCAACACAAAAACAGCGTAGACACTGCCCCATCTAAGTGACAATTCCACAGCATCTCTGTGCATTATTGAATTACTGAGGCTCATATGCAAATCAGACAACACAAGACAGCGTGCATGTGCTCAGAGTACATTTGAATGTGTCTGTGTTCCTGTGGGATCGGGAAAGCCCAAAGGTGGGAACCGGGCAACCTTCTCACCCTCGTTCTGTGTTCCTCCCCAAGGGTAAAATAGGGCCGAGTGGGGAGTTTGTGAACAACACGCTGCAGAGGCAAACACACAAGAGCAGATATGGGGGGCTGGGGGTAGTAAATACCAGAGCCAGGAGGAGTTAGGTGCTGTGGTAACAGAGTTCACAGACAAACACTGCGATCAAGATTCAACACACAGGCACACACACACACACACACACACACACACAGAGCAAACACACTCATGTGTTCCATATACAGAGTCCCAAACTGAGAATTTGGACAAAGCACTATCCAAAGCAAGATGTAAATGGATAAAAAGATGTGGCACGTTGCCATAATCCCCAACAAGACATCAGTCTCCCATGGGCAAGAACAAGCTCTGGGAACATCTGAATGAAATGACAGTGAAATAGAGGAATTAGCAGATGAATGAGAAAAAGAATGGGGAAAAACTTAGCTAAACTAAAGCACTTGGAAAGACTCCTTTCTTTCATCATCCTCCTAAGCTATAGATATTTCAGTGGTTTCTGGTGTGAACCGGGGTTATGTTTGTGAGTCCTGGCTCCTCTGTGTATCCACATTTATTATTTGTGTCAGTTTCTACAGCAGGTAAACTGCAGTGTATATGCAGATTTCTGTGGATGCGTCCTGAACTCTTCTCACTGCTGAGTTATGGCTGCTGTCACCAGTGTAACCTCTCGCTAAACCTTTAATGTCTTCAGCAGCCTCATCCTCTCTTACTTCCCTGGATGTCCTCACCATCACTTTGTTTCCCTCACATGCTCTATTCACTCCATCAAATATACTGACTGTGTATGAATAAATTTTAACAGGAGCATTTGAGTATATACTCATGCTTGTGTTATACTCAAACCATCACTGATAAATGTTGCTAATCCAGATAAACTTCTGGTGAATGAATTCCAAATTGTAATTTAGACTGTAATGTTAATTAAGGCAGGTGCTGGGATTTTATATAAAGAGATCTACAGGGCCCTTTGTGATTATATTATAAAGCTATAAATATTACGCAGCAAAAGAAAAACTATATTAGTACTTAATATTGGTATTTTACAAACAAAAGACATTACAGCATGTTGGTCACTGGCCTGAGACATGATGGGCAAGAGAGAAACTGAAAGAGTATAGAACAGAGATCTGATCTGAGATCTAAAAGGCCCAAGAAAGGAGAGCAAAGAGGTACATTTGAATTACAAGATGGCAAATCTCCAGCATACCAGGCCTCTTGCTGTTGTGCCAAAATGTTAAAATATAAAAGCATTTATATCAGAGTATAAAACACTTAAAGTCATTGATATGTGAATTCCAGTTTACAAAACCTCAACAACGTAGGACCCCAGTGCTGAAATTCAAATATATAGTCAATATAAAGTGTGATAACCATGATAAATGTGTTCTACGTGTGAGATAATGCGTACCTTATACCGCATCTTGGGGCAGGAGTGAATGTAAAAGCCCAGGTAGTAGTAGGACAGCTTGGGAGACTGTTTCTGCAGCTGCTTGGTAAAAGCGATCTCCCTGTGGCAGGAAACACACAAATGCACCTTGTCAGAGAGCTAAGTGTAAGGAAAAGGCTTCATGCTTTTTGAAACATCACATACTGTATTCAAGCAGCATACAGTGTCACTGCGTCTTAAAAAGATGGCTCGATCCGACATCACTTTCCTCATAGCTGGAGTTTGTGCACCACAGGGCACCAATTTCAATTTCCCATGTAGAAAAATCATGGTTGCAATTTACACAGTTATTTTATTGTCAGGTTAATTCGATTATTTACTGCAGTGTTTACTCTTCTGAAAAATATGAACCCTGATGAGCTGATTCGGAGTTTCGCACAGTTTTAACTGCATATGCAGGGATGCTGCATCAGAAAAGTATCAATTTTTAATAACAAAGCAACAATAAAGGAATTAATAAAACATTCAAATTGATACATTAAAAAATACACCAACTAACTTAAAATGTGTTTTCACTTACAAGTTAGTCCATCAGCAGCATATAAATGGCACTTGCTGCTATGTCTAGAGCAGTGCCTAAGCTGAGGAAGTAAACACCCACACTCAAAAAGGCAGGTTTTTTTTTTTCCACCTTCTTTTTGGTTTCATGTCATTACACAAAAACAATTGCCTTCTCTCTATCAGCCCTGAGCCCTGAAGCAGAGAAGAAGGTGCTGAAAAAGGAGGAAGAGAGTGTGTAAAATAAAGATTTAGAACGTGGAGGATTTATACACCTTCTCCAAATACAGTAAATGTCTCGCCTGCTTTATTTTTCCCCAATAGCTTCTTCCTTAATTGCATCCTTTTACTGAAAGCCTATTTTCTCCTTTCTCTCGGCCGTTTCCTTCGCTATTCCATAACTAAATTCCAGCTCCTCTTTCCCCCCCCTATCCTTTTTGTTTCACTCTTCCTTCCACTTCTGTGTTTCACCCGCTTAAATGAAGTAGGAGAATTCCCATTCTTACAAGACTTAACAGACAGAGAAAGAGGCCTTAAAATAAAATAGATGCACTGAAAAATAAGACATGGGACAAAGCAAGCCAAGCAAGGGAGGTGGGGGGGAGACAGGGGGAGAGAGAGGGAACAGGAGGAGAATATAAAAGAGGAGGGTCAAGAAAGAGAAAGGGACGGAGAAGAGAGGCAGCAAGAGAGAGGTGCTAGAAGGTCACCCGCTTGCTGCCAGGTTCCTGGGTTCCCATCCCCTCACCACAAAAGGGCCCGGCAGGCCTGAATCAGGGAAGAAGGGGGGGTCAAGAGAGGCGAGGGGCCCATTCACAAAAAGCCATAGGCCCCCTTCACTTGAGGCCTTCACACCCCCCACCTCCACCCCCATGGCAGCAGCTTGAGTCCGCCATTATCCCCTCTTCAGCCATCTGACACTCCAGCACAAGCCAATTATCAAGCCCTCTGCTCCTGCACAGCTTCCCTCATACTGATGTGCATACGCAAGCACACGGTTCATAATAATGCATGCTATGAGATGCTTTTTGCAGCTTTGCATGCACGTGGAAACATTTCGTTACCTAATCTTACAAGAACTGTGTTGAGCTTCTAGTGATGGGAAGCACACAGATACTTAATTTATTGTGTCAGCATTTATGAGTAATCTATATAATATATATGTGGTTAAAACTGGGGCCACTGCAGGAATTTTTGCCATTCGAGTCCATGTTGATTGGACTCAAATGGCAATTTTTGCAATTTTGTTGCAAAATACTGCAAACATATTATGTTTAAGTATTTTAAAAGTGGACATTTTAGTTATCTAGAATTATTTTTTTTATTTTTACTTTTCATAGGCTATGTGCGCATTCAACTACAAGACTGTTTACAGAAAAATATAAACACTGAATCAGATTAAGCCTGATTAAGAAATACAGTATATTTTGGTTTGAGATCATTGACGACAACATAATCAGGACATCCTCGTAAGAGAGATCCACGTTTAACACCAGCTGTGTTCCCTGTACACAGTGCTTCAGGCACCTCATTATGCGCCTCTTTTCTTCCCCTCTTCCTTCTATCCTCGGGGGCCTGTGGAAGAAGGAGCAGCACTCTTATGAGAAATTTCTCAACATCTCCCTCTCCTGTTTCTCCTGCTGAATCGCACATACAAGCATACTAACACAGCTAAATAGCGCGCACAGTGCTGTACTTGTTTCAGTATTGTTGTATTGCCTGACGTCCAGGCGTATATTATTTCAGCTCTGACATTATCTAAACGCTACACGTGATTTGTAAAATGATAAGTGAGTAAATACACAAATCAGGACTCCCAAAGAGGTAATGGTGTAAAATTCCAGAACTTTCCATGAACTCTTGTTACTAAAAAAATAGAAAAAGAAAGGAAAATTACCAACATTTTTTTTAAAACACTAGAATGAACTTGATTGCGGCTGAAAAGTTAAGTTTCCAATCCAACTGGGCCTGCTGTAGGAATGCCATTTAATGTAATGAATATATGTATCACAAGACCAGAGAGGGGGTGAGAGGGCCACATGCATTCTGTACAGCAAGTTTTGAACAGAGTCAGCCAGTCCAAGCAGACTAGGGAGTGTCCAAGACCTGATCAAAGACCGTTCTCTGGTGTCTGTAAACACGTGGGAGGATTTCAGTCCCGCTGGCTTCCTTCTCCAAGGCCTCCTCCACACGTCGAGCACTCTGTGTTACTCTTTGAGTCAGACTCTTACAATAATAAGTGATGGAGGGGTGGGCTGTGTGCTTAGGATGACCGAGGTGTTTCCTCTATATGAGAAAAGCCTGATCCTGTGCGAGACTGCACATAAACGCTCACAACTCCCATTTTAACACCTGTGCACACCAACTTTAAAGCGAAGATCACCCGGTCCCTCGCATATGTGCAGAGAAATTTTTAAAAGCCTTTCTCGCATTACTGGGTTACATTTTAACAGGAAACGCCAGATATGTGCACCTATAGAGTATGCGTGAGTTCTCTTATTTCAACCTGGGAGAGAGAACTGTCATCAGCTGAACCGCAAAACAGAGCACTGCCTCAACCAATCAAGTGTGAAGAAAGAGGTATTTTTCCCTGACCTAGAGTACTGTGGCACTTATAGTATACAGTTCTAAAGATAAAATGTGGGAGGAGCCAAATAGACCAAGAGTCAGGGGGAGAGAGAGAGGTTAAGAGGAGGGCAAACATGAGAGGCAGGAAAGTGAGAAAGCATCAAAGACAGAACAAAGACATTAGGGAAGAAAGAATGAAAGGAATAAGAGACAAAGCAACTTCTTTCTTAAAAGGAGCTGCATGTTGCATTTCGTAATCATTGCTGTGGTCGTTTAAGACCAACTGTAACGCACTCTATGGTGCTGCCGTGAGTAATGTGCGCACCGGTGAGGTTTTATTACGCCAAGCCCTTTAAAAACACCACTGGCATCATGTCCCAGTGGCTTACTTCTGTCTTCACAGCAGTTTTTCACGTAAACAGCAAGCACATTGTGTTCGAGTGCTGACAACAAACCTGAGAGCAGAGTAGGAGCCCAGAGACAGTGAGTTAAAGTCGGGATGGTAGTACAAATAGACGGAGGACACACAGGTAGGCAGGATATCAATCACCCCCACTGCCACAATACGTCCATCCAGCCAGTACTGCTGGTGGAAGGAGCCGTAGCCCACCTCAGGCCCATCTGGAGCATATTCTGCCTGGGGGAAAGCAAACAGAGTGAAAAGTTTAAGAGAAAATAGTCACTGGTCAGAACAATAGCAGTACTCTAGTGCACAGTATAGTTTGCATGTAAAAATATATAAATCACAGAGGAACGAGAATGTGGTATTTAATAGCGCTCGTTTACTTTCTTGCACTGATCCACTTTCTTTTCTGCACACTCACACCTGTATGATGTTGTATTACAGACCGTGCTTCTCCCTGCCAGGCCTCACGCATTATGTGTGGGGGTGTACAGTAGCCTCACGTTCGGCCTGCTAATGGCTCCCAAATGTGGAGTGAAAGCAGGAGCAGAGTTGGGCTGTTGGGGGGGGGGGGCACTGGCCACAGAAACACTCCGGGAGAGGATTTTAATAAAAAGACCCTGCATGAGCAAAATCCATTTCACCAGGCGGTAGTGGAGTGTTGCCAAGCTTTCCTCCTATATATGTCTGCGTCTGCACTCCCCCTGCGGCACGAAAGAATGCGGGTGTAAGTGAGCACCCATGCGCCCGGGCCTCCCTCCATTAATGAAACTGTTAAGTTTTTGTAACACGTTGCGTTTCTCACAGGGTTACTGCATGCTGGGTTTTTCAATCAAGTCAGCTGACTTCTTTTATCCCAGAGGCTTAAATCTAGAGGCTTGGGGTTTGGGGTTAAAAGTCATTAAGCAAGGGTATTGGTTTATGTTTGTGTATGTGTCTTTCTTCAGCGTACTAGTAACAGGATCCGTCTCCTTCTCCAGCCTTCATCTGGACGCAGTTAAGAAGCACAGACGCTGCTAGTTATCACAACACAGAGAGCTAGATCACTAATCCAGTGCGCCACTGGGCCTGCGCTCTGACCAAGTTAAACCTGACCAAATAGAATCTCTCACCCACTCCCACACCTCCCTGCAGCTCTGTGACCCCAGCAGACTGACAGTTTTCTTAAGAAGAACTGGTAATAAAAGTTATATCCCTTTAGGTCAGGCCTTTGGGTACCCAGGTGTAATTAACTGCCTGACACAATCAATACCAGAGGTCATTTTTGTGTGTGCGTGTGCGTGTGCACGCACGCGTGGAAAGGTAATTTAATTATCCTTTCCTAACAGCTCCATAACAGAGGCCACATGACGTTAGATGTAGATTATGAGGTTTTATTGAGCTTTAGCTGCGACCGACAGATGATTTAAGAATAAAAATGAACATTTTTGGCAAACAGTCAGATGGCGATGGTGGAGGACAACAATGACCGCAACTCGATAAAGCACTGCCTGATGCAACAGCTGAGCGGATTTAAAAGTGTGTGTGTGTATCCATAGCTGGGGGAAACTGTTGGTCTGATGTTTTAGCGCCATTTATCACTAAAACACCAGAGGCTTTGTCAAAAGGAAAGAGCACAAGATGATTTTTCGTAACGCACGTTCAGCATACACACTTGAGCGCTATTATGAATGTGAGTGCTCATGCAAGAGTTGCAATGGCTGCCTGAGTGTGTGTATGAGAGTGTGTTTGTTTATAAGCTCGTACCGCGCTCAAGCCTGATCTTGTCAGACTGACCTGTGCATCACCTCAAACGACAGCTTAATGGTTGTGTCCTTGCAACTGTGACAACAATCTAAACATTCCCTGGAACACTTCTAACCACCCCAGAGCTTCCCAGCAGCCCCAAATCACTCACATATGGCCTAAATACAGGGCTGTGTGTGTAGCACGCTTGATAAAGCCATGAGGTGGTATACCGTGTTTATTTCAACCTGCTCAGGGAGACATTTTGTTAAACTTCTGCTGAATTAGAATAATTGGATTTTGTGAACCCTTCAAGGACAAAAATGAGCTTATATTCCCTTTATAGACACTTTATCTCAGACTTGAATGGTTAAGTTAGCTTTAAGGAAGAAACCTAAAATAAAGACAGATGATGTGAACAGAAATGAATATGACAATGATTGTCTTATATTTCACTGTAAATTGTGCAAAGATAAACATAAATATATGCAAAGTTTTAATTTAGCATAAGCAACACGTTTAAAAGGTTAGTTCAGGTTAAAAGAAATAGAGAAAAAGTTTTATGACTGTAAAACCAAGTGGTAGAACAGGGACACATCACAACTAAAAGTTTAATAAGTAAATTTGGTGTTCAAAAAAAAAAAGTATCCTAGAGAGGCTGAGGCACTCAGAAGTAAAGATGTGGAGAGTTTCACTACTCTGTAAAAGGCTGCGTGGGCAAGTAGCTCAGGAATTTAAAAATACTGTTTTACAATGCAAAATTCCAGAAATTTGGATGATAACGCCACCTACAATGAGACGTTTTGCAGACTATTCTGAGATGTGTGTGAAGTAATGAGTAATATTATTAAGAAATTGGTCAGAGAAAAGATCCACCGATAAAAGTGCATTAAAAAACAGACAATACTGCAGAGGAAATCCCAACACTGGCTCAGCAGCACTTCCAATGACAACTTAACAGTTTGTTGCTAAATGCACAATATTCTATTTTTGCAAAGAAAAAACAAAACAAAACAAAACACATCAACGAGATCCAGAAATACGACCCTCACTGAACTAAATTCATGGATGCTGCATGCGGTTAGGGACCACCTCGCTTGAAAGCAACATATACGACAGCATCCGTGATGGCGCACAAAGCACAGGTAACTTGCACACCTGTGAAAGCACCATTAATGCTAAGTGATAATGTAATGATTATGGGGCAATACACTCTAAAAGGGAACCTCTTAGTCTTTCAGTTCAGATGTTTTTGTTGCATTTCTCAGTCCGGCAGTCTGCCTTTGTAGTTTCAAAGTGTTCGCTAAATTCGAGCAGGGTGCTGCAGTAGGAGGCCGCTGTTCCAACGGGTCTGTTTGTGAAATCTCTCCCTTTCTAGATATTTCACAATAAACTAATCAACTGTAAGTGGAAGCATTTGGGAGCAACTCAAGAGTCAGACCATGTAAAGTTACAGAGGGGGGGGTCACCGAGTGCTGAGATGAACAGTGCACAAAAGTCAAGTCTTGAGTTCCAAACCTCTTCTGACAGCAACATCAACGCAAAAACTGTCGGGAGCTTCATGGTGTGGTTTTCCAAGGCCAAGCAGCTCCTGTAGGTGTTAGGTGAAGGTGGTCCAGTACTTTTGTCCATACAGTGGATGCTGCAATCCAGCCATCTTTTTCAAGAAAGACCTTACTTATTTTAAAGCAGTTCTCTGGAACCTGTTTTTACTGAGTCATGTTAAGTTAAACTCTGTGCTTTTGTTTACATATTATTTTTGTCTGTTTTTGATTTGGTTTGACCATTACACACCTTTTGCAGTCCCACCTTTCTGGAAATGGGTTCCTGGCATCAAAACTCACTATGATCACGTTTTTTTCATAATTCAATCAATTTCTGTGTTCCAACATTTGACAATGCCTCTTTGTAAAAATTTACGATCAAAAAGAATAAGGTTAAAATTATTTTTCACATTCTTTTTTTGGTATATTCCACATAGTGATCAAAGTCTTTTGGAAAAGTCTGCATTTCTTTACATAGTAAATAAAATTCTGACAAAATGCTAAGAAGGGAAAGACAGAGATGACCAAACTACAGAAGAAAAGACTGAAAGCCACAGTCCTGCACCCCTGTTACTGTGTAGGTTGTTTATTCATAAAAGGAAAACTGAATGAGGAGACGAATCCCACAAAACCCATAACACCTTGTGTTTCTCCTGCACTGAAGTGCTCATCATGTTTGGAGACAGGCAGAACCAGTGTGTTTACATGTCTGCATTTGTATGTAAAAGCATCTGAAAAATTCTGGCATACTCTGTTAACTGCCACTTAGTTTCGGCATGAATCCTCTACAGTTTTGGTGAAATGAAACAATTAGACTACCTGTGTCCCAATTACAATTTGGAAGTATGCATTTCTCATACATTTTTAAAAATGCAGGCGTATATGTGAGCTGATGAACCACAGAGTTTGCTGGTCCATGTGGTGAGTGTCTGTGTATTTTAATAGCACTCTGATTGGACACAGATGGAGGCCAACACGCAGAGCTACAGCAGAAATCCATGTATAATAATTCTGAAATGGAGAGCGTTTGGAGAGAGACAGGGGAGACTGAGATGAGAGGATGAAAGAAGGAAAGAAAAACAAGTTGCATGAGAGGACGCCGAATGAAAAGAGATGGCCTCCTCAACCGGCAGAGAGGAGGGGACACTGAAGGCAGGAAAATATGCGAGGTAGTGTGGCACAGTTTTGGTGTGCACATGTGTGCAGAACTGTGTAATTCAGCTGCCTGGCCTCCAGCCTTGACGAGGTGATAAAAGCTTGTTTCCTATAAACACTAATGATGTTCATTAGCGGAGACCTGAGGGGGCCCACGGGGCAAAAGAGAGTGACTGCGTTTGTGTCAGTCAGTCTGCGTGTGCTCTGGACCTCAATCCCATTAAAGTGGCTGTTATAAGTACCCATCCTGGGTCTAATTGTTGGTGTAATTGTCCTGACCCAAGAGGTCCAGTGGTATTTCTGAAGCCTGCAGCTCAACAGGCCTGACAAGTGCTCAGTGATGCCTTACTGCAAACTTGCACCTCACAGCAAACACCACCAGATTAACCACCAATGCTCTTCCAGATCCTTCTGTATACAGATTAAAGCATCTAAAAATTTACACAGTAAACAGATTACGAGCAAGATTTCACTAATTAATGCACCAGAAGCTGCCATTAAATTTCTAATGGTGCCTGAATAATTGCTTCTTGTTAAAGTGGGCCCACACAATCTCCTCATCAACCTGTAATTTGTACCACGCCACGCAAAGTAATGGGCAGTGGTATAAATGTGGTATGTTCTATCCCGTCAAAGCCAGAGGGAAGGACTGCTCTGAAGACCTTATGTTCAACACAGTTGCAATCTGGACACCACATTTACCATTTTCCTCCTTCGGCACCCCCTTTCACTAACACAGGGCTAAATTAAAACCCCTCCGATATGAAACAAAACCCCCTTCCCAAATCCCTCAGCTCCACTCAATCCAGCTGGAGGGCTCTCTAAGAGGCAGACCAAAGGTAGAGGGTTGGTATGTGCTGAAAAAGGGCAACTAGTTTAGATTTTCTTTCTTTTGAGTGAATGTGATGAGGAACTAAAAACCGAAACCCCAGGCGTTTTTCAAGTCATTATCATAATCTCCATGACAGTAATTTCAGGAAGACCCTCTACTGGTTGGGGCAAATCATTCCAGGTAACACATTTGGATGAACAGAGACATTTAAAAGCAGGGGGTTATTAAACTGTCAACAGGCCAAAGGAAATACATACCTCTAACGGTGAATCACAGAGAAATCTCTTGAACTGTGGAGGAAAGCAGAGGGGGGGACAGAGAGAAAAACAGTTAGCTCTCTGGGTCAGCAGCTCTTTTGAAAAAGGTATAAATGAAAACCATACACGTCTCCTTTGCTGTTCTATATAACTTATCCCTCCCTGTTTTCTTTCTACTCAGGTGTCACATTTCAAATGAAGCCCTCCATTCACTACGGGGAATTAAAAGGAAAACTGTATTTATACAAATGAAAACATTTACCCTATCAACTGCAGCTCGCACTACAGGGAGGACACCGTGACAGCAAAAATAAGCAGTGCTCCCAATGTCAAAATAGTTTCTCTCTCATTTAAAACACCACACCAGATATTGATTACTGGGGTGGGGGTGGAAAATATGTCATTTTTCTTCCATTCTCTCTACCATTTCCTGGAGTTCATTTTTAGCAATGGGGTTGAGAGCGGTGTCCATGTTTAGGTCCAAAACCGTTTTGTAATGACAACCAGAACGCCAAAGTGGTGACTGACAGATTTAAGTTTACTCAATGAGCACATAACACAGACCCTTGTGTTATGTACAGACCCTCATATTTTACAAAGACATGCTACAATCCAGCTGTGTCATTCGTTTGCAGATATGTTTACCTTGGGGTCCACTGTTTGAGGAGCAGAACATAGATCTATATCAGCACCAAAGTATTGTAAACACGGACAGTGAGGGTCCAGATGTGATTCCATAAACAACGATACACACTGTATTGCACGATGACCCTTATCCGCCAGCAAATGCATTTCCATTGATAATTATTTTGTGTTGCTTCTGATTCTATCCAACCAGCTAGGGCTTGAACGCTTGTTAAACGGTGATACTAATTTTCAGTCCATCTGATTTGTGCTGAAAATATTGTATTTTGTCATTATGACTAACTCATATATCAAAGTAATCTAATTCTTTATATTATGTCCTGAAGAATAACTGTGTAAACAAAAGCCAATAAAAATTAGCACTTGCAATTTTATTTCCATCAAAGTTGCTGACAATGAAATGAGACTACTTATTTTGTTTTTTATAGCATCTAGACTGACTGAAGGCTGTGTTGGCCATTTAGAGACAGATTATCTGTCTTTGCTTATTATTAACACGTAGGTTCTCTAGGAGTTGCCAGAATTTCTCAGAAACGCACCAACATGCTCTGCTTGTGAGTAAGTGACTGAGTATGTGCACAGCAGTAAAGCTAGTAATCGTAATGACTGCTCAAGGCATGGTTCACTAGGTGGGGCAGTGCTGGCTTTAGTGCACCTCGCAAACCCAGCCAGCAGCCTGAGCTCATCCAACAGAGTGTGCGTTTCCTCCTGCATCTGCCACAGTGCTGGTGACACTAATGCAGTGTCACCAGCACGGGAGATGTTTTTGGCAGAGCGCAGCGAAAGGATGATGAACTGTCATCCGTCATTTCCACCATACCTTTGACTGACACCAACAACCATTTTTACCATCTTTTAAACTCCCTCACTTAAACAGGATTCTCATCAGAAAAATGACGACATCCATAAGAAATTTAAGTTGTAAAAATAAGCAAAAACTTTAAAACGAAGGATTGCAACAAAAGAAAAGACTTAAGCATAAAGCACTCAAAACAACAAAACTATTCATGCATTGTAACGGTGCACACAGCTCTTGCAGAGGGGTGTTGATGTGGGCTATAAAATTCTCACAAACCTTGTCCCCTGCGGTGCTGAATACTACAACAAGATGCCTTTCCCCTGGACCCAACCTCACACCAAGATGAAGTGGGGATGAACAGAAATCTATGGACTGATGATTCTCACCCTGCAACTTCCCAAATATTAGTGGAACTTTACAGTCTCCTCTTCAAAGCCACTACACAACCCCATAAGCTTAGGTTGATCTTTGGACAACACTGCATTTCTACACATTTTTCCCCCAATTCCCCTACTAAACAGAAAAGTATGTTGCATAGTTTTTTTTTTTAACATGTTCCAACAAAAGTGCAATGACAAGATCTGTTGAGTCGACAATGATCTTCGCCCATGCAAAAAACCCGCCTGTCAAATCCCCTCGCCTGTGTAGCCATGCCAGTAGAATCTAATTTTCCACTCCTACCTCTGCAGTGACTACTGCTCTGCCAGTCGACAAATTACCAACAGCAAAGACTCCCACTGTGCAGTACTGCTGAAGGGCACAAATGAAACTTTTGTTAAAAACGCACCAAAAAAAAAAAAAACTCAACTAAACGGTTTAGCAAGTGAACAACAGCTGCAGTTATTAGATGACATCATCTGTAGAGGCCAAGCTACAACGTGTGCAGCTGAGTGTGTGTGAGAGAGAATCTCACACTGACCTTGTGGTGAAATCCTGATTTGATTAGGAAAATCTAGAAAATATACGTGTGAGCTTTTACTCATGTATGCAAATTTGCATATGTGTGTTTTCTGAATACCTCCTGTCCCTCTTTCTAATTCTTCTTTTAATCAACAGTGCAGTGTAGCTGTGTTTGCCTGAAATCACTCTCCTGGAGCACAGCAGGGTTGACCCCCTGTTTGTTCTCTGACAAACAACAGCTCTGTGAGGCTGACACACGTACACAAACTCGAGTGGGAGTGCACTCACTTGAGGCATGAATACATATGAAAACAGCTACAGCTACTCCTGTGCTTCCATCTCTTAATACAACAGCACATCAACTACGCTCTATTCAGAGCAATGACTGAACACATGGAGTTCATCACTTCCTCTCAAACTCTCCCTTTCTTATAGCAAACACTCATCTGTGTACGATTAGGAGTGCAAGAAGCCGTCTCAAACACACACACACACACACACACACACACACACACACACACACACACACACACACACACACACAGATTGCATATAAACACACGCATCTGCTTAAGCCTAATTGCTACTTAGACCTCTCGTCATTGTGCTCTGTACTCTCTAAAAATTGTACTGTACTTATTTGAGCAACAAGGTTTCACCCTTTAAATGTCTAACACTCTTTTTTTCCTTCACAAACATGTGTCCCTGTTCATTTCAAAGGCGTTCAAAGCAGTTCCAGATAATACGAGGAACTGGGTGGACAACGGCAATGTGGTTTAGATGGTGTTATTGAATATCTCTGCTATGCATAACCATGTTGCAAATAGCTTTGACATAGTCTGTGCCAAAATTTCAATCATTTCTTCCATTTTACGGATGACTGTTACTGCCATGTCTCAACTTTTTCCGTATATTTTTCTCCAAGTGTCTTGGTAAAAGTACTGGCCATCAAGCAGAGTAAATACAGATTTAACAGGGTTTGTTTTCTTGAAAATGAAAGCCACATGTGCAGGAACTGAGAGTCATGGCTCAGCACAACAGTTAAGACCAATAAGTGCCAGCGAGAGTGTTTGTATGTGCATGCATCTAAATAATTGCCAGTGCGGGCTTCAACTCTGTCAGGAAACAATGACTGGACGTGGAAAGAAAAACGTCTGGCTGCCTTTCACTTGTGGCATGACAGGAAATGCATACATCCTAAAATAAACAAAGCAATTACCCTCTAGGACATCTTACTGTCTAATGATTGAACAAGCTTGGCAAGGTAGTTCAGCTTGCACGCACACAGAAGGTCTCCCATCACTTTGTTCAAACATAGGCTGACAACAATCTAGATCCTATCCCGAGGGAATACTTTAATGGATTAATAAATACCTAAACAAATGCTAAATGGATCAACTTCCTAAGTAGCAGCAGCAGCAGCAGGCAAATGGCATTTCACCAAAATGTGCCATCAACAACGAATTTCCCTTATTCAGGACAATAGGTGGAGGGAGATGGGGGGTGGTCTAAGATTCTGGGAATAAGAGGAGTTTACCAGGAGCTTGACAGGCAAGACAATAAAATCAGTAGTGTTATGGGCTCGGGAGTGGGTGTCACAGTATTCCAACTAGGGGAAAAAATGAAGGCAAATTTGTTTGAGTGGGAACAATTAAGGCCTGGCTCTGTACATAAAATTACTGTAGCGCGACTGGAGAAAAGAAAAGTCATCAAACCACAGTCGCTCAGGTTCAATCAAACATGCCCTGGACTAGCTGTACTTCAGCCGAAGATAAAAACGTGTCCTAATCGAGCAGCAACTTCAGGGGTTGAAAAATGAAGCCAAAGTGGATTTTACAAAAACTGCAGTTCCTCCGGTGACCACTTGACACAGGCTCTAAATCTGAGTCAATCCTCTAGACCAGTGGTTCTCAAACTTTTTACATCATTCCCTACATGGCAGGAAGAAATATTTTCACGCCCCATTTAAACAAAACAATGGCAGAAAAGCCTAGCTGCAATTTGTGTCCCACCAGTGGGGCGCTCCACACACTTTGAGAACCACTGCACTAGACTGTTTATAAGAAATTGATAAAGTCTGTAGTATCACGTATCCTTTTGTCTCACTGTAAAATGGCAGCTGCCATGTTGTGTTTATTTTTATTGTCATGTCTTTTTGGTGCATGAAGAAAAAAAAACAAACTAGGAAGCTTGGTTAGCAAGATCCAAAGACTGTACGTATCACACAGACAAGGATAGCTGCTACCCAAGTAAAAAGTAGGATCATTTCACTCACCAAAAGTGGTTGACTAGCTGGCAGCTGCAGGTTACATTATGACCAAATGATTGCCAGGTAAAGCAGCGACACCCCTGGCTTTAAGACTTTATAAACTTTTATCAGATGAGTTAAGTTTAGTCCCAAGTTTTCAGAAAGGGGTAAAAGAGCTATTTATGTCACGCTATCAATTCTTGAACACTGGAGTAAATGGACGAAACACCACTTCCATACAGGGATCATTTTTCAAGCCATGTCAGTTGGTCAATCCCAAACATTCTCCCAGAAGAAATTAACTTGTTTAATGTTTTAGACCCTGTATCTAATCCCCCCTCTTTATTAGATGCATTTTTTTTTATAACATACTTATAATTAGGAGTGTGGTGCATTTGAGTGACAGCTGGGTGCTGACTAGGTGTTACTGTAGCTAATTTGATTCACTGAGCCAGATCCCTTGAACATGTTTGTGATGCCGTTGCATTTTGGAGCATTTTTATTGAAATTATCTCACCAATAATATGGCGTGCTGTGAGGTACAGCCCATCCAAGAAGTCCCCCCCGCCCTCCAACTTCTTGTACAAACATGTTTCTGGTCCCAGTGCCACAGCCACATTTCATACATCTTGTGGTGTGAACATGACTTATGTCCACCATACAGACTTGCCATGAAGCACAGAAAGCAGTGTATTCCACACATACTCTCATACTAATTACAGCCCATATAATAACTGTGTTGTTACAATCTAAAGCGTAGGCTCTCTCTACCACTCTAAACTACAGATGTGAAGGTAAATTACAATTAATGAGGCTGCATTTGAAAGTAATTACCTAATCTTATGTGACCCTGGGCTTGTACACTACACATGTGGTTATCCAACATGGAAAACCAATAAAATAAAAAACTTTATTTCTGGAAACTCAACAGACATCAGAGTTTTTAGCACAACATTTTCATTTTATATTTTGAAGATATTATTAGTCTAATTCTTAAAACTACACTACAGTTATTACCCTGAGCTAAGACTGTGCACAAACACATGCGCTCTATTGATAGAGCTACGGTTATGGCACTAGGAAAGAATCTGCCACAGTCTGCCCAATCTGACAGCTTTTATTATTTATTAATTACCTTACTTTTACAAGTTGGAGAATTCAGTAATTTACTGCGGCCTGCTGGCAGGAGGGGGAGGAGGAGGAGGCTGTTTTTCCAGCCCAGAGGGACAAAAGGCTCTCTCAGGTTGTCCAGCAGTTTCTGCATCCTGACTAGACTTTATTTTTTCTTCGTTTATTGATATAGAACGTGGAGAAACCTGGTGTGTATACATATAATTTAATGCGTTTCATTAATTATTATCACTGCTTAGGTCAGGTTTTATATTCACAATGATTCCTACTCATTCACTGCAAAAAAACCTAGGGAAAAACTCTTTTCATGCCCTTTTATATATTTCACATTAATTTTATAATATATAAATTTAAGAATTATAACACAGACAATTTTATGTTTTTACAAGGTCCAGTCAAATGAATATTGCTGTTACTACTACTACTAATTGTAAGACAGTATTTTCAAAGTGCCTGTTTTATCTAACAACCCCTGGTTTTAAATGTGTTATATAAATAAAATTGTACTGTATGGTATGTAAAAGAAAGAGGAAAAAAAAAAGTCAAAAAGCAGCAAGAACGTTGAACGAGCGTGTGCAGCAGCTCCCAACCAGGTGTGGAATAATAATCATGCCGTACCTCACTCTCACTACATTCGCTGGGGTCATCACCATGAATGGCCATCTGGTATTGGGCGTACAGCGCTGACGACTGCTGATACGACGCCATGAATTGAGGGTCCTCAAAGTTCACTGGCACTAGCCTCACCTTCAAGCACAGGGTGTTGGGGGAGGGGAGGTGAAGGGAGGTTTTACAACGATAAACAATGCATACGAGGACAGTGAGCAGCTAGAAAAGGGAGGGCGGAGGACGTGAACAGTGCTGGAATCAACAGTGCGTTATATCATAGCGTTGGCATCAGTCTCCTAGCCCTTGAGAAAAGCTGGTAACACAGTACTTGGTTACTGGTTTATTCAAATCAGATTGCCGGGCACACAAATATCAGCGCAAGCAAACATTCTGCATCTAGGAGACTGATGGTGTATTTTTACAGCAATAACGTAATGAGAAACCTGAGGATGAGGCTAGTGCACCGCCCAGCTATTACCACAGATTGGCTGAAGAGGACTGGTAATATCAGACTGAACCCAGCGTCAGTGCGTGCGAGGTCCAGAGCAGCAGAAGCCTGTCTGAGTGGATCATCTAAGCGGGACGCGTACAGATTCTTGTCCAACACCGCAGACTCTCCTCAAAAAGGTAAACAAGGTTGAACTGAGCGCACGCAAGAAAATTAAAACCACACAAACACTACGAGCTCCAGTTCCAAATTCAAATCATACTCTAGTTCAGAAACTGAAACTATCGTGAGGGCAGCGTGACAGTAGACACAGACAGGGCAAATGTGTGAAGGTCGGGAGGGGTCAGCTGACAAACTACCTCAACCCCCAAACTAAAAACAGCTCAACACTAACGACCCGGCTGGCCGACCAAGGGCCAAGTCAGGCACCTGGAGAAACACCGCTCTCAACCCTGGCGTATGGAAACATTTTCCCCTCCATTTCCTCTCCCTTTGACTTTCGCATTTATACACATACCCTCTCTTTAATACTAGCATGTTAATTCACTTTCCCCCTCATTCAAGCAGATGCTTAAGACTATTTAACTTAATTCTTGTTTCAAAGTTCCAACACAAATTATTTATCCATTCAAGTCTAATTCTAAAACTTCGCAGCGACCGAACCCAGTTATACAAATGCAATGATGCTTAAATGATTGAATTGAATGATATTCCTGTATGAAGAAGTACAAAAATGGAATACATCAAAGCCTTTTATTTCCTTTCTAGGTCCCCACATTTGTCGACCCTCTCCCTCCCTCCCTGGGTACCCCTAGAAAAGGTTGACCTATGCCTCCCACCCTCTGACCTGGCTCTCGGTGGGTTTGTCAGGAGGGTCCTTGTGAATGCCCATCTGGTAGAGTTTGTACACCTGGTAGGAGGCGTCGAAAGAAGCTTTGAACTGCGGGCTAGGGGGATTGGAGCGCACTAGCCTCACCTTCAAAAAGAATATGGGCAAACAAGAGTTAACAATAAAATGTAAGAAGCAATGAGAAAAGTATAAGTGGTTATTGAAAATGCCCAATTAAGAAAAAAAACAAAACTAAAAATTAAACTAACAAAACAAAAAAAGACCACAAAAGGGAAGAAAGACTGACATAAGCACACCCTCTTAAAACCATCTTTTGCAAATAAATCACAGCACTTACAATTCCTAAGATATCATTTCATTTTAGTCAAAGGCTTCTTTTCACCTACGACAGCTGTACGAGACCTTAAGCTCAAGTTGTAGTGAATCCTTTGGAGAAAAATCTCATTTTATAAAATATAATCTAGCTAATCTAATCACACACACAAATATCTTTAGTTTTTAATAGATGTTTGTGTAAGATGTGGCTTCATGAAAGTGGGTGTGTTATGTCCGTCTTTCTTGTGACACAAGAATATTACAAACAAGTTGCTCTAAATATAATCATTAACATATTTGCTAATGTGCTTTTTGGGATAAATGGGGATAAATGGCGGAGCATTTCTTCAGCTCTGCCATGTCATCAAAAGCATGACAAACATTAAAACCACAGTCCAAGTTCAGGTAACCTAGTATAAGAACACAATTAGGCCACATAGGTTGCCTAATTAGTTATAATAGGTTAATTTTTACATACAATAATTACAGGTGCATAGAAAAATTATGATGCATCCATCATGTGTACTTATGCAGCAGTGAATCCAACAAGGCATATAAGATAAGCTCAAACTTCAACAGAGAAGATCAGGAAAAGTCTTTGATAGAAAGACGGGGAAAGAAAAACTGACCAATGCTGCTAATATTAAAAAAACGAAAGGATCCTTCTCTCATCGTCCGGCCCCATTTAATTAACTGTCTCCTCATTTTGAAGCTTTTGTTGGCCACAGAGGCTGTGCCATATAAATCCCCTGGAAGGACACGACAGATGAATTGAACTTGGGGTTTGTTTGGCTTGGAACTTAACTCTTAGGTCTCTCATATGAACATTTGGCATCAGCATCCTTTAGTCAAACAAAGATGCTGAACCTCTCAAGTTTGCTCGTCTTAATATTGTTCTTAATCTGGAGATATATATTTTTGATAAGTTCAAAAAATAATAATTGGGGGTTAGCTCGCACCACTAGCAGAAAGCATGGAAATGAAATTTCCAGTTCTCAAAACAGACTTGAAATTCAAAACCAACTTAAATTGCTTAAGAATGTTCAAATAAAGCCAAACAACACAACTGCACTTTGTTTAGCTAATTAAAATTTATTAAAGAAAAGTGTTGTATCTTAATGATATTTTGTCATGAACCCTCAAGACCTTTCTTTGCACTGTTATAAGTAAAAGGACAGACGAGAAAACTGACTGCCAAACCACTGCACATTAAGTAATGGGATAAAAGAACATCTATGGAAATATGAAAAAACTGCAGAGGCTGTACACAGGCACTCTTAAGGGGAAGAGCAGTTCCATACTTTCCAGAGGTGCCTGAGGGGATTTGTATCATGTTGTCACACTGACCCCAAGTGGTGGCATGCAGAACCCCAGCTGCACTGCATGGTCATCTAAACTCGTCTTCCCTGTCCCTATGACTCATCTCTCTGATCTGCAAAAGTAGTGAGCTCGTCCAAGGACACAGAATCAATCGTAGCAAAAGAGTATTATAAACAATGAAGCTTTGCAGAAAGTGACGGTGATCTTATAGCAAAGCCAAAGTGAAGATGCTTAATCACCAAATTTCCATTTCCACGTTTTATATGGACCCGGCAGGGTTTTTTTTATGTATCCTGCAGTGTATTCTCGAGTGTGACATCTTAAACAGATGTGTTTATGAAGAAACTGAGCTTGACTACACTTAATTGCTCTAGTGTAAACACAATAATCATCTGGTACTGGTGTGACAACACTTAAGGATCAACACAAGACACGTCCAACTGACAACATCAGAACGATTTGCTAAACTGCTAATGATTCAAAATGTTCCTTAGCCAGAAATCTGTTGCAGCCCTGCTCTATGTTCTATAATAAAGAGCTAAATGGGTCAAGTAGAAGCCTCTCCAAATTGTATGACTTGTAAAACATATAATTAACCTCCATTTGCATCGGATAACAATGTGTGCGTGGCCTCTAAAGAGAATTCAATTATAATTCCTAGCAAACAAATGAATCCAACTGAAAAGAGCTCTCTAGTTTCACGGGGTACATAGACAAAAGGCAGACACTGCCTGGTTCATCACTGCATCTGGCTTAAATCTTGGTCAAGACCAGGAATGACGTTACTCTACCAACCTCAGATGGAGGCTTAGCCAGGGATCTTTCTTCTACATTGTTCTCCTGCCTGCCAAAACTTCATTTCCATGTCTTCTCATACTGGCTGAGCTGGGTGCTGTGGTTTTAATGTCATCAGCAGAGTAATGCAACCCATTTTGTGTGGTGTGCCTGTCATTTGGTTGAATTCGAAGTAGGAAGAGGTGGTTTTTCCACTCCGCTTTGGCTAGCTATCCTATCCGTACACATAAACACATGTGAAGTCACTGGAGCTGGGGAAGAGCTCTGTGAGACCAAATGTTCGAGCTAGCTAAGTCCAAACATTACAAAGCCTGAAAGCTAGACTAAGAACACTATTTCTTAATGACAGAATCATCAAAATAGGTTAATGATTATTTAAAGTTACAGAAAAAAAAAGAGGAACAAAAGTTTGCGCCACAATATTTTTGTTCACCTCAAGGCAATGAGCAGAGTTTTCAGGCAATGATTCGCTGATGAATTCTTCCAGTGTTTTTGATTGGTTGTTTTGACTAGGAGTGGGTTGGGTAGGAGAGACAGTGGAGGAAACGCCGTCACCATTTTGCCTCATTTGTTCTTTCTGAAGACGCCGCTCTTTCCTCAACTCTTTGGCCTTCCTACACGGCGGGCGGCTAGGATCGGCTCCATTCCCTGCAAGACAGAAGGAGAAATGTCAAAGGTTTCCTGAATGTGCATTATCGCTTTAATTTTATGCAAAGACATGGTGAGAATATGCCACGGACGTAAAAGACCCAGTTTAAAAACTGAACTCGGGGAGAATGATCATTTTCAGCTTCAGACTGCTTTTTCGGTAAGAATAAACCAAAAGTAACAAAGGCTTTAACTTTGAGCCGCTGTAACTTTCAAAAAACATATGCGATAGCTGCCCGTCACTTTGACTCCAGTAGCACATAGAATATTGTTTCATGGCTGCCAAAGCAATGATTTAATGTAAAGACTACTGAGGTAAGGATGGTGATTACCTCAGTCCTCTTTGATTTTTCACTGAAGCAAGCATAGTTTTTTTTTTTAGGCGATAACAAAAAAAGCCAACCTAATAATAAAAACAATCAGGTCTGCTGGTGTGTGAAAATAAATGAGTGGACCAGCTCATCGTACATCGCAAATAAAACACAACCCACGCATTTTTTTCCTTCTATCAGCAAGACTGACAGAAACAGTTCCTGAAATTACTAAATCTCTGCCTGTCCCTTCTTCTCATCCTGCTGCCCCTCCTCCTCCTCCTCTACCACCACAACCTCCTGGGCTCTTGCCAAGCCCTTCAGCTCTCCGGGCATCCCATGTCAACAGTTTACACGCCCACATCCTGTTTGGAGCAATAAGGAAACGAGAGCCGTTTCCTGCTTGTCATATTGCCAGCTGCCACCATCAGCTCATTCACCAACTCCCCCTCCGGTGAGGTCACAAGGAAGAGAGAGTGAGCGAGAGATCCCGATGCCTGATCCTGACAGAGGAGAGAGAAACAGATCCTGGCCAAGAATCACTCACAGCATTCAGCTTTATCTGTCTCAAGGTCCTGTGTCTGTATGGCAGATTGCACCCTGTGAACAGTAAATACAGAACTGAAGCTATGCTATAAAATATGCTAAAAACATGAAATGACATTTGCAGTGCATAAACTAAAACTAAAAAAATATTTTTGTATTTTTTATTTATCGCTTACTGTGTTCTTCTTCTAAATGATTTGTTGTCGAGTCATCGGGGGCGATAGGAGCACATAAAGGTAGTGACTAAGAAAATTAACAGCGTAATATTGAATCTCAAGACTGCCACATTAGCGTTTTATTGGAAATGAAAAGCGGTGCGAAAGGAAGTTTGCACTTGCAAGAAATCACCTCTGGTATAAACAGAGTTGTGGCTGTGATAGCGTGGTCACATAGTTTACCTCTTCAGAATAAACAAACCAATGTCAAGGAAGAGTGGTCACGCAGACAACAGGAACTACAGCCTGGACCGAGTTCATCACACTGACTCAACCACAAACACAGCAACCCTTATCCATGATTACTCTGTCCATGTGCCTCTCTCTCTCTCAATAATTACACTCTCAGCATCGACACACACTTTCTCTCTTAGCCTCACAAACACAAAAAAAAAAAACAGGTACTCCCAAGGACAGGATATGCAGCTGTGGTGAAGATAAAGTCTGACAGACCAGTTCCTGTGGAAGACAGATGCACTTTCTCCAGCAGTTAGCGCTTCATAAAATCTATGACATTCTCTATCCATGCTTCCCCGAGCACACATATGGCTTTCAGAAGATACACTCAGTGTAAGCTGTCTAGAAATGTGAAATACTGCTTTCCTATACGTAAACATGCAGCACACAAGTCAGTATTGATTTACAGTGGTTGGAGGATACGGTCGTCTCTGTTCTGCGTGTGCAGTGGCATTTATTGCAATGTATAACCCTTGAGAAACTACCAACTTAAACTCTCTGCTGTAATTAAAACTGGTTCCGCTTAAGTTTTTGGTAACTGGAAACTCCCCAAAGTTATAAAGTGCACTAGTCATAAAAGTAGAGGGAAGAGAGGTCCAGCTGTTTTCTGCTAACGGTGAAAAACATGATCGCACACGGCTTCAATAATGTTGAAATCTGGGCTCCGGGGAGGCCAATCCATGACTGATAGTGTTCCAGTGAGTGGTGTTTACAGCGTTAGTATCGTGCTTGACATCATTTTCCTGCTGGAAAATGAAGCTGTTCCAATCAGACGCTGGATCAAAATCTGGTGATACTTTTCTGTGTTCATAGCCCCAAACCATGACACAGCCTCCACAAATAGCTGTAGACACTCACTTTTCCATCTCATTCTTGACCTACTTCTGTACATACTGACGATGATTTGAACCAAAAATCCCAAATTTGGATTCATCACTCCACGTGACTTTTGTTCACCGATTTTCAGTCCAATTCTTGAGTAATTTGGCATACCTCAGCCTTTTCTCCAGGTTTCCTTTAAAAAATGGCTTCACAATACCCCCGCCTCCACGGAGACCATTTCTAATAAGGCTTTGGTGAACAGCAGTGAACAACTGAAGGCCCTAATGCATCTCTCAGGTCCTGTGTCAGGTGTTTGTTGGATTTCCCCCCCCCATTTCTTAAGGAAGTTCAGTGTGTACTGCTCTCCTGCTGTGGTTTTTTTTTTTTTTTTTTTTTAGGTCTGCCACTTTCTTTCCCCCCCCCCTAGTTTTCTCAGGTTTTTGGTAAATGTGGTAAAATGCTCACCTTGTTGGTCTAAAAATCCTATTTTATTCTTGTCAAGCTATATTATCTTTGACATTTGTCATAGATTCACCAAAAAATGAGAACAAATTATGCGTTTTCATTACTAAGTTGTTGATCTTCTGTAAAAGCCAGACTGGTTCACCCCTTGAGTTAAGTGCCTTTCTCATAATCATTGCATGATTTACAAATATTTTGCACAATAATATTTCTCCAACATCCTCTCTTGCCTTTTAATTAATGATGCTGGATGGCGTTCTCATCAGAGTTGGAAAGGAAAAAAGCAGCTGAAGCCTGAAACATTAAAGGTTGTTAAAAACGCCACTTCCTCTGTCTAATGGGAGTTTATTATCTCTTCCCTATAAGTGTTATTAATTCATTATTGAGGGGATATCCTGTGCTGGAAAATAAGGAGGAGAACATAGACAGATAATTCCAAACCAGACACACACTCCTACGAAACAGTGAACAAACAGTGCCCTCATTCACCAACATGCTGCAGTGTGAAGCCTGGTTTACAAGGTGAACAGTGACACCTTCTGGCAAGATCTGATACTTCAGTTAGTGCAGAGCACAGCATGAGGCCACATTGGATACAGTAGAGACAGCATAAATTTAAGCAGAAAACCAAAGTTAAGTATTAAGTACAAACAGCTAAGGATTCCTCGATTAGACACAGGTGGCTTATTATTAGCTTAGTTGTAGTTGACTACATTTAAACAAATTAATAAGTAATCATGTATTCAAATCGTCTTAGCTGCAATGTTTAAAGTTAAAGAGCATTACTTCCCTCTTTGTCCCTGACAAAGTGTCAATCCATAGCTGTCACTGACAATCAAACTGTTTGGAATCCCAGACTGATCTAATCCCGTTCTTAGGGCCTTCCTGGAGTAGACTGTGGAGACTCGGAGCACTCGGTACAGATGAAGACACAAAAATGTTTCACGCATTTTTGTAACCTAACAACAACGCGGCTTTCTGAGAAGAGCTCCAAGACTGAAAAGCACATAACCCAGAAACCGGCCTTTCCAGTTAGTGGGTTATTAAAACGAAGAATAAGGTCAACGTTTAATTATCACTTTATTACACTTACTGGGAAGCTTCATTGCATTGATGGTAATAAATAATAACACCCCGTCAACTCGATTAATATCACCTTCAGCCCGTTTATGTGTGAGAAGGTGCACGCACAACAAAGCCGAGAGCAGAGAGAGGTAAAAACCCCGCACTACTTATTGCTGAGGCTTCATAGTACAGCTGCTTGAGCCGTTCATAGAGATTTATGTCATTGTTTTAAAACTTTAGTTAGTTTAATTTTTTTATGATCACTGCCACTCCAGGTTTAGATTGATAGATCACATAGAATAGAATGAGCTAACTAATTATAGTACTAACATAACTTTTTTCTCCCCCCGAGCAATGGCAAGTACAGCACTAGTTTAGATGACTCCTACCTGATTTGGGAGCTGCGGATGTTGTGGTCCCAGCCAGTACAGACACTGGATCATTTTGTGATGTTTGCGAGCCTGTAGGTGTGGCATCTGCTGCCTCCTTCTGAACTTCTGTGGTAGATGGAAACTCTGTAGCATCCTTCTGAATGCCTGTGAGAGTGGTGCACTTTAAATGTACTTTCCTCAGTTCCTGTGGTCCTGCCTCTTCACACACAGAGTCCATTGGCTCACCTATAATGCAGGAAATCAATATTGCTTACACCAGACAGCACACTGTAAATTACCCTTCTCTTCTGTTTTGAATTGAATTCGTTTTTGAATGAGCACCCAATGCTAACTGCACTTTAAACCAGGGTGCTCACTTACGCCTGATCATTGACATCAGAATATGACATTACTGATCTGCAGTCATGCACCAGGACTGCTCTCTGTGACATCCTGCAGTTAAAAAGCCTTGCTGTGAAGGGGTCTCTGATGAAATGTTATGTGCACAGTTTGTGAGCTTTGCAACTGATGGAGCTCTTATGAGCTGATAGAGAGGAACAGCCATACTCCTGTGTAAACCCATAAATCTCAATCTGCCTGCTGTTCGCAGCATCATTTATATCAAAACCTGTGGTCCATGAATACATTACAGACTCAAGTCATTTTCACACATTTATTAAGTTTCAAACTCAAGTCAAGCCTGTGTAGTGCTTCACACTACAAACTACAACACATATGCAGTCGCAGAGCACTAACTGCTTAAAGAGTATTGCCATTTTTTCCACGAACTGTACACCAATAGAGACTATGAATGGATGTGTTTATACCTCATATATTATACATACCTGCACAATCTTCCTGCCCCTTTTGCAGCTCCCCTTTGGATATAAATCTGTTCATCTTCTTCAGGATTTTCTTGTGGGATTTGGAAGGCTGGAATTTCAGAGCGTGGCATCTTGAGAGAAGATACAAGGTAAAGGTTATTGGTTGTTAAAGCAAACATTTAATTAACGTATTTTTTCAACATATATCAAACAACCCTTGTGTATTCTAGGTTTTTTGGTCTTATCAGATCTTAAGTTACTTAAAGCATGACTCATAAAAGGAAATTTTGGTAAGCAAGTTAATAAAATTACCTGATGGTATACTGTGGACAGCATGTCTTCTGCATTATGGGTTTGTAAACATACTTCCCACTTCTGAAAATGAAAACATGGACAAGATTTGTGGGAGAAAAAAAAAAAGGCAATAAATTATTATTTTTTATTTGAAGTAGTCACAACTCCATTTTTAAACTGAATTCAGGAGAAAAGGTTTCAAATGGAAGTAGGAAACCACTGGCTGAAACCAGGATACTAAGCAGCTACTCACCTTCTCCATCCTCGATCTATGAGGTCTTGGTAGTCTTGTACTGTCATGGTGTGGGACCACATCCCTACAATCAAAACAAAACAAATAATTAATCAAATTGTTTCCTTAAAATGTATAATTGATTTAAATACAATTTTATACATAATGGCAATCGTTGAAAATATGGCAACAAGCCTAGGCAGTGTTATGTATGAAAAGTCTCTTCACCTTAAGCCCAATCAGGCTTAAGGTCATAAAAGTGGTAACGCCTTTTCTTTTATTCACAAACAGCGAATGGGACGAGGAAGAAACTGTTAATGAGATAATACTTCTGTGTTTAAATTGATGATAAAACTGAACCGGAAACAAGGAGAACGAGTCAGGCTCTTCACAAGTGAGTAAAACTAAAACAGCTGTGATACGAGGTATGTATACAAACAAGGCATAGTCTGTCAAGAAGTTGAGACTCGTGGTAGGTCCACATTTTGTTCCAGTTTAAAATACTGTCTCCAAAGGGTCATTCCCACAGTACTTTAAGGCCCCAATGGAAATATACAAATTTATCATTTGTAGCCAGACCAGATCCCTCTTCCCAGAGCCGAGGTCTGAGCTCTTCCTTTCAACTTTCAACTTCCCTATCACTCTTGGAGCCTGCATAAACAAACCAAAACGTAAGCTTCTATTGCAAGAAAACAATCCATTTAAATCTAAAACAGCCGAGGTAATTAACTGTTAAAAAGTTCATACAACACACACCAACCTCTCAGTCGAGTATAATTTCCTATGTTTCAAAAAAATGATGCTTAGAGTCCAAACAAACTCCACTAGTGAACCACAAAATGACAGATGAGTCTCCAACAGACACAGCGGCAAGACTGCAGGCTTTCTTTATGTCTGACACACATCACAACTTTTCACAGGACTCTCTGTAGTACTGTGAAAAACTAAGTGCACCTTTATTGTTTCCATAGGATCTAGGGCAGTGGTTCTTAACCTGGGTTCGATCGAACCCTAGGGGTTCGGTTAGTCGGTCTCAGGGGTTTGGGCAGAGCCTCCGCCGTGACATGCACGGCTCATTTTGTGCACCAGTAAAAAAACATATCTACGTCTTGAATTTGAAAAAAATCATATTTTATTTTTCACTACAGAGGGGTTCAGTGAATTCGCATATGAAACTGGTGGGGTTCAGTACCTCCAACAAGGTTAAGAACCACTGATCTAGGGTGAGAAGTAGCAGTCAGGTGCTGCTATACAAATCACTTGATTAAATGATCATCAGGAAGTGTGACCAAGGCTACCAAAGCAGAGATTTGGGCAGTTTGCTTGTCTGGAGTGTTCAGGTGTGTGTTAATTGTCTCAAAAGTGGAAGTCTCAACAAATTCATCCCAAAGTCGAAGAAAAGGCAAACAACCAAGAGATACATCTCAGAGTCTGCAGCCCTCAGTTAATGTGTTAAATGTTAAAGTTCAATACAGTACAGATAGAAAACCACTGAACATGTATAACTTCTCTGGAAAGATCACTAGGCAGCCTCGCTTCTGTCAGTCTGCCCCAGGGCAGCTGTGGCTACAACTGTAGCTTGCCTCCACCAGTGTGTGAATGTGAGAGTGCATGAATAGTGGTATTGTAAAGCGCTTTGGGTGCCTTGAAAAGCGCTATATAAATCCAATCCATCATTATTATTATTATTACTAGGAGGAAGTCTTTTTTCTCTCAAGAGAATGTTGCAGCACAGCTTATGTCTGAAAGTTACATCTGGTCAAACCACAACACTTCTGGACCAGTGTCCTTTGGAATGATGAGGCCAAAGTGGAAATATCTACCATAATGCATAATATTAGCATAAACATATTAGCGTAAACAGCTCATACCAGCTGTCAAGCACAGTGATGGAGGGGATGTTTTGCAGTGGTGTTTGGTTTTTTGCAGCCACTGTACCTGGTTACTTTCCAATCACTGAGCTGATTATAAACTCCTCTGTATACTCAAGTATTCAAGAGGCAAATGTGAAGCCATCTACATATCAGCTAAAAGTTGGTAGCAATTGAGTCATGCAAAGCGATAAGCAGCAGAATGGCTGACAAAGAAAGAAAAAAAACATAAAGGCACTGCAGTGACCCAGTTACAGTCCAGACCTCCAAATTCAAACGGTGTGGTGGGACATTACAGGGGCCTGGGTATAAACTAATGACTGCAAACTTCAGTGAACTGAAGCAACGTTGCAAAGAATTCCTCCAAAACAACGTGAAAAGACTGAGACAAAATCATATCATTTTCTTATGGAAAATGATTCCTTCAAGTTATGCTTAAATACAAAAAGTTTAGGGCCTACACATTTAGTCTCTCAGATATTTCTGGTCTATGACTGTAAAATGATCAAACCCTCTGAAATTGCAGAAATGTCCCATTCTCATATACATGTGCATTAAAACCAATAATGAGCATATAAAATGAACTTAAAAGGCTTTAAATTATGCTGATTAATTAACTCCTTTTATTTGAACATAATACATGTCATCAAAAAGCCCTGCTAATTTGTTAGGCAGGAATCATGAGTCTAAAATACAAAGAATAGATTCCATGTGCAGGCGGGATAAGAGTACAGTGGCTCACAGCACACCTGGAGTGTGTTTTCACCACTCACACCAGATCCCTTCTTCAGCCTTCACTCAGGCATGACAGACACAATAACACAGATGAGAGCAGATGTTGTGCTCTTGTTGTGAGGAGTTGCGTTTGATTTGTATCTGACAACACTGTTGATAATATCACTGCACCAATCACACCAAGGGAAAACATCATATGACGCACCTGTTCAGAAAAGTCTACAGTAAAGACGCACTGCTACTATATACATAATCCATGCATCTACAGCATAAGATGTTTCACATCTTTCCAGGAAAATAAAATGATGCCAGTGAGAATATAACATGAGATAACGCTTGACCTGCATCCACTTCCGACCCTGTAGCACTGTTACATAGTTACAAGAATTACACAGGTAGTAAAGTCTCCCTTCTTCACTGCAAGCTGTCGTACCCGTATGATGTAACAGGAACAGATTAACACTCTTATCTTAGATTAGACATCAGCTCTCGTCTGCAGGCGATGTGCCCAGTTGCTCATTGACTACACTGGGACCTCCCTAATTATAGTCAACCTGTCTCAGCCCTGCTCAGATCAAATCAATGACACCAGTGTGTCCTCTTACCTTCTCACAGTTCTCATTTTTATGTGAAAGTGAGATCTTTTAAAAAGTAAGAGTAAAATGAATCGCTGTATCATCGAGGCTCATTTTTACTAAATATTCCAAGATATAGCCACGTGTCAGCATTTATAATTAGGCTGTTCAACTAGTACACTGTTATCCCTCTGTCACTCACAGCTAGAGAACAGAGTTCGCAAGAAAAAGTAATGCCAAGTACAATTACCTGTTACACCAAAACAAAGTGTGAGAAAGTACTATAACACATGCGCCGCTCGTTGTCACCTATTGTATATTATACGACTTTTAAACCACGTAAAATATAAAATATCCTGGATTTCCCAAACTCGGCGTCACATCACAAATAACAAAAAAAAAGAGAAAGCTGCACTTTCTAAGAGCAGCAGCCTTGCTTCTCCGTCCTGCCGTTTAAGAGACTACCTATTAGCTTGGTGCTACTGCAAATCTACTGCTAATATGCTACAATTGCATTGTTACACCCAAGTTAAACATTGTTGTCCTACAGAAAAAACATTCAACAATAACCTTAACTGATTTATTCTACAAGCCTTCTTCCGTTTCCCAGAAAGCAAAAGCTAGGCTAGAAGCTAACGGCTAAAACCTGAGCTAGGTCAATAACCTTAAACCTATCTAAATGATGTCAGGCTAACGCTAAATAATATTTACACTCGCAGTGTGCGTGCAGTCTATGTAACATACTCAAATACACTGACATTAGGGATAGGTGCAGTGCAAAAAACAGCTAGCCGGCTATTATGCCAGAAAGTAGACGGAGCTAGGTCATTAGCACAAGCCAGTTCAGAGAACCCCGGCTATCCTCCACACAGACACACATATACACACACTTCATCCCCAGCTTACCACGAGAGAAGTTTCCCGTTTGGCTTTTACAGTAACCACAGCGGTAGCCATCTTCTCCCCCGAAATATTCTACTATAGTGTAAGACTTATTTCCTGCCATCTTTAAGATCTAGCACAGCTGACAGCTGAGACAGGTGACCGGGCAAGCCTTGCTCGACATGTAACCCCGCCCACAGCAAATACGTCATCAGTTGTGCGTAAAACAAAGGGAGTTCTGATAAAAGTGTTTAAGTGTTACAAGTAACACTCAAATAATGAAACAGCTTTTGTTTTTTGGATCAAAATAAACAATGCATTGCAGCGCATTCTGTAGAAATGACTTTATAACTTCATATTTAAGAAGACAGAGGCAGGGGAGAGGATGAAGGCATGTTCAGAGGCCTGAACATGTTCTGAATGTACGGTTTGGAGACAGTGGCACTGGCATAAAGACAAGGGGTGAAGCTGGAGGTGGCAGATGAAAATGCTCACTTTCACGGTCACTGATAGACAGGATTGTAAATCTGTCTATCAGTGACAGTTCAGGCTGAGAACTTTAGAGATAAAGTTTGGAGAAGAAGGTTAAGATGGTTTGAACATGTGCAGAGGAGGGGTAGTGGACATACTGGACAAAAGATGCTGAAGATGCAGCAGCTAGGTAACAGATAATGAGGAAGCCCACAGACTAGGTTCATGGATGTAGTGAAGCAAGACAGAGTTGGTGTGACAGAAAAGGATGCACGGGACAGGATGAGGGGGAGGCAGATGATCAGTTGTGGTGAGTCCTAACATTAGTAATCAAAAGAAGATTATTTAAAAACTCAGTTCTATCAATTAAATAGAGTAATAACCGAAATCAGGCTATATACCAACAGCTGCTTCCCCACTCTTAAATTAAACATCGTATGGATTAAGTAAACTAAAACAAAAAATTACAAAAATAAAGACCTTCATTGGGGGGGAAATGGGCAGATTTCTCACCAAAAGCTTTGTGACACATAAAATTCCACAAGTTATAATTAAAGAACTGTACACCATATTTATTAAATTATCTGTGCAAAGAGGAAAGACAGCAAAGTAAATCCAAAACAAGATCCTGCGTAAACAAGACCGAGGGAGAGTTTGCATGTAGAAAAATAACTTAGAAAATCACAGCTGGAACAATGATTTAGTTTTATGCAATTACAAAAATGGCGTTGGAGTGAAAAGCGCTTTGTCCAGTCCTAAGTTCTGTTTTACTTTTACAGTTTTCTCTCATTTAGCCACCAGTCAATTTTCTTGGGTTTCACATGGATTCATAGGTTCACAAAACCAGGATATTGGTTGTCTGATAAAAGTTGCCTCCATTCTTCCAACCACACAACAAAACAGACCTAAACAGGATTGTGAAAGCAGCTTGTGAGTTGAAACGCTACAGACAGACACAAACCTCTAAATAAACACGTGACTTTATGTTGTTCAGTGGTTTCTAATTGAAACTCCCCTGGGGCACAGGGATGTTTTCGTGAAGGTATTTCATGCTGCCTTGCTCAGAGAAGTCAGCCACTGTGTGTCCCTCCCCTCGAAGGACCCACTTGGTGGTCAAAAGTCCCTCCAAACCTACAGGTCCTCTGGCATGTATCCGTGCTGTACTGATACCAACCTCAGCTCCTGCAAAATAAACAAAGTAAAATTAAATACCTTGTTTTATTTTCAACATAGTGGTAGTTTAGGTTCACTTGAAGGTAAATACACACCAAGGCCAAAGCGGTAGCCATCAGCAAAGCGAGAGCTGGCGTTCCAGAATACACAGGCGCTGTCCACCTGTTGCAGAAACTGTTCGGCTGTTTCTTCATTCTCAGTAACAATGACATCAGTGTGGGAGCTGCCGTATTTGTGGATGTGGTCCACAGCTTCCTGCATGCTGTCAACCACCTCAATGCAGCATTCCAGGTCCCCATACTCTGTCCTCAGAGACTTGACCTCAGATGGGCTAAAAGTTAAATAGGATGCGAAGCGGGGACCAGCATGAATCTTTACCTGTAAGAAAGCAATAACCAATAGTTTGTTAAAGAGTAAAAAACAAACAAATGTAATTTACTGTATTTATGGACGTGGGTAAAGTGTTAAATTCTCTTGCTGTTTTTCCTATTTCTGAATCTCATTCAAAGCATACACCCAAATAATCCTGTTTCTTACTTGCTCTGTTCTCAGCAAGTCAATGATCTGGTCAAACACAGGAGTACGCAGCAAATCTCTGTGAATAAGAAGAGTCTCCATGGCATTGCAGGCAGCAGGGTAGTCACATTTAGAGTCTTTGACTGGAAAGAAACACAGTTTGTACAATCATTCAAAACCAGTCAGTTTGCATTAGTGACAAATTTAATAGACTGGAGCTGAATGCAATTAAAAACCTACCAACATCAAGAGCTTTGTCAATGCTGGCATCACTGTCGACGTAGACGTGACAGATGCCCTCACTGTGGCCCAAAACAGGAATGCCCTTGGCTGCCCTCTGGATTTCCCGGACCAGCTGAGACGAGCCCCTTGGAATGATCAGGTCAATCATCTTGTCCAGTCTGCACAGATCCTCAACTTCCTCACGTGTGCTCACCTACAGCACAAATTCTTTTAGTGTATCGCAACAAATAAAATACTACCAGGAAACTAAAATTATATTTCTATAATGATTTTTAGTCTTACCAGTTGAATGGCATCTGCTACACCATGAATGGAAAGGGCCTCTTGAGTGAGTTGATGTAGAATTTTGTTGGTGTTGGAAGCTTCTTTGCCACCTTTCAGGAGCAAAGCATTTCCGCTTGCAATTGCTAGTGCTGACACCTGAAGTATAGCATTTAAAATGTCACTCTTTTTGAACACATATAAAACCAAAGACTTTAAAAAAGTATTCCAGACTGCGTAGAGATGGTCTGACCTGTGGCAGACAATCAGGGCGAGACTCAAAGATGACCAGCAGGACACCGATGGGGACCGTGATCTGTTCTAGTTCTAGGTTGTTGGCCACTCTAGTCCTCCTCAGCACCCGGCCGACGCTGTCCCTGGAGGAAACGGCGAGCTGACGCAGGCCAATGGCAAGACTGTTCAGCTTGGCTGTTGACAGACTCAGGCGATTGATCAGAGGCTGGGACAGACGACCTGTAAGAGTAAAGTATGAATAAAAATGCTGGCGCATCAATCAATAAAGAGAAACGTGTTGCCAAGCAGGAGTAAATGCTCTGCTACGCGATGCCACACCCAATGACTCCTACCAAAACAGACTACAATGGTATCTGAGTCACAGATCTACATTCAGGTATGGATTACGCTAATCCGTGTGCCAGCTCTCTGCCTCTGTACCTAATGTTGTTGCTAGCTCCATGTCTTTCCTGTTTGCATTAAGAATTTCTTCTTTCTTTTCTGTAAGGAGCTCAGCAAGACAGCAGATGATCTCCCCTCTCTGAAAAAAAACAAACACACAGATGTGGTCAACACAATTCAAAATTAATTGACACTGCTGTCACTACGACATAGAACTTATTTAATTTGATGACCCTGTGCAACTAATTAGGATAATTTTTTCCCCCTTTACCTGTTCAGGGAGCAGAGAGGCCAGGGTTCTGCCTGCATGTCGTGCCATCTCTGTCTGCTGCTCCACAGTTGGGCCTGGTGGTGTCAATAACACCAACATCAAGCATAAATCCTCAAACCACAACAAAAAGATTCAAATGCTCTGAGTGGTTTTACCCAGTACCTGCAGGTTTCACTTCAGAGAAAAAGGTGCCAACTTTCTTCCCTTCCACAATGTCTGTGATGACGTGACCGGTGACTTTTGGATCTGTGCCATTGGCAATGATTACCGAGGTGCCACCCTGCAGTGCCCAGAGGGCTGCTTTCACCTGAGCCACACAACATGATTTAGTGTAATGCAACATTTTCATTACTGAAAGAACTCTGCCTCTTCATATAGTGAGATGAACTATTATCTGTCACACTGACCTTTGCTTCCATGCCACCGATACCAACTCTGGATTTAGTCCCATATGTGATAGATTGTTGGTCTCCGGGATAGAATATATCAATGAGCTTGGCATCATCTGTTCCTGGTGGACTGTCGTATAAGCCTGAGGAAAAAATAAGAAAAATAAATCACACATACATAGATATCTTCTGATTTAACAAAAACGCGAAAAAACAAAACAAAAAAGTCTTCTATTAATGTCTGACTACCTGGCAATCATTAATGAATAAAAGCAAAGCATCAATAAAATATATGGCAGTTGCTGTAATACTATGCATAATAATGGTTCACATTTATTATACATACAAACATAAACATAATCTACACATTTACACAAATAACATACTGGCCATTACTGTGATTCTTAAATGCAAATTAAAGAAAATATTATTTAAATATATCTGTACCTTGGACATCAGACAGGGCAATAAGTAGGTCTACTTTCATTTCAACAGCCAGCCGTGCAGCCAAGCTGTCGTTATCTTTGATGCTTATTACCTGAAACACAAACAGATTTTTCATTAAGCAAAAAACACCGCGCAGGTCAGTAACAAGTTCAGTTGCTACTACATTTTAAAAGCTTCCCTCTCTCACTCAGGTGCAAAGGAAACATTGCATGCAAAAACAGGTGTACCCACATTTACACCCTGTAGGTCACTGTTGGGAACAGGGGGTGGAACAACAGCGTCGTTCGTGTTAATTATCGGGACGATATTCATACGCAGCAGTTCATGCAGCGTGCTGTTCAGGTTCCGGCGCTTCTGTTCATCGTGAAAGTCCAGATTGGTGACCAGAATCTAAGGAGGTGGAAAGAAATGTGAAGAAGTATGTGACATTTTAGTCAGATGCTGTAGGTATTTTATTCTATGCCAAACGTAGAGCACATACTTGTGCAGTGCAGATGCTGTATTGGGTGAACATAGCTTCGTACAGCGCCATCAGACCGCTCTGCCCAGCAGCTGCACAGGCTCTTGCTTCCAAAACTGGGACTGTCTGAAAGACAGTGAGATTTAAACAAAGTTAACAAGATTTAGAAAGAAAGAAATCAGCACACTGTTATACAGTCTACATTTACAAAATAGAGGGTCCAAGTTCCTTCTGTTAAAGCTTATTCACCATGTCTTTCAGTTGGTTCTGCCCAGAATGCAGAGCTTGTCTGACACTCTGAGACAGCAGTATCTCATGTCTCAGTCGCTGCTTCCCAAATGCCACAGCACCACTCGTAACAATCATCATCTCCCTGCCTTGATTCTGTAGCATGGCCACCTGATGGAACACAGAAACAATAACATTTAAGATCTCTTTTCTTTGGACCAGTCATTCCTCTATAAAAGACACTTTGTATCAACATTATTACCTGCTCTACTATTGAAGCCAGTCGTCCCAGTGCCAGACCACATTCATCTCCACGCGTCACCACAGCGCTCCCAAGCTTCACTACAATGCGTTTGGCTTGCTTCAGCTCACTGCGGTGTGCAAAGGACTTCCCATGGGGTCGAGGGAGAACGACTGCGGGGAATAAAGAAAACAGTCACATTTTAACAGGCACAGGCAACCGAGGAAGAACCAACACATATCAAAGTGATCCTGAGATTTGTATACAAGCCTAGTATGATGAAGCACTTGGCTGATCACTTACATTTAGCCTGGGAAAAGGCTCTGATGTAGACTGGGCACACATTTGATTGCCGTGTTCTGAATGGCAGAGGAGAGCAGGAAGCAAACCTGGCAAACATGGCACTGAAAATTCAGGACCACTGTGATGAGCACAGAAAGCAATGCATGGTTAGTTTAACAATGGAATAGCATCAAATTAAATAAGCAGCTTCTGGGTAAAACAAACAGGCTTGACGCCAACGTTTTAAATAGATATATGGAGTTTTGCTGTCGCTTGAAAGCTCTGCATCATGTGTCTTATTCTTATCAGTGTTATGCGATATTTGGACTTGACACACTGACCCATTAAAGATTGTTTTGCACCAAGTTAGCTTAGAAAAATACCAGCAATAATAGGCAGGGCAATAGACTGGGCGCTTTTCACTTGTATAACCTGTAATACATATGAACGAACTGCAGTTTGCATGGTAGTTTATCAGACTATAGCAGCTACGTGTCGAGTACTTCTGTCAAAACATACCTAGGTTAGCTAACGTTAGCTAGCTTTAGCTGTTGTGAGCTGCCTAACTTGCCTCGGTTTTCGACAGAACAGGCGGAAGAGATTTTTTATAAATGACTCCTTACCCAGCGAGATGGAGACCTGGAAAGCCAACCACAGCTACACTTGTAAGTGAACGGCGAAATGAAGACACGTATTCAGTGAGAATCGCAGCGCTTCACTGCCACATCCACAGCCCACGTTGTGTGGGAAGTGCCGTAATGCTATTCACGAACGACGTGTACATAAAATATCGGGGGGGAACGACGTAAGACGTTGGCTTACGCAAGAAAGTTTTAACGTACGCATGAATTTTATTTTATTTTTCTGTGAGTGAGCACGGGTTGCACAAGTACAGAGACGTCGAGTGACAGTACTACACACTTAACGCTGAAACGAAGATTGGGTTGTGTAAATAGTGCAGAACAGTTTTATCAGCATGCACCGTCTATATCACAGAGAATGCAGACTTTTGCAATATGTATTATGCTATTATTGTTATTTATAATTACAAGTAATAGGCATATTTTAAAAAGTAATGTCGTTTCTTCTAGGGGCAATATAACATCGCAATAACATTTTTTTTTTTAAAGGAAAATATTTTGTAATGTAATTCTGACAACAACAAGCGTGACTGTAAACAACTAATATCGCTTTTTTCAAGTTTTCGAAATTATATCTTCACAAAATAAAACAAGCTTCGCTTAAGTACTCACGTGACTTCCGGGCGACTTCCTGGCTCTTTTTACACCCGGAAGAGCAAGCGTCCTATGAGATCTCAAATTGAGATTACTTCACACCTGTGCTCAAACTAAAGAAATTTCACACTAAATTGATTCCCTTTTCCTGTCATTTTTTTTTATTAAATGACCCTGCATTTTGGACTGTTGACTTGTATTTTAATCAATTTCTTTGAAACTGTGCCATTAATTTGTGTGTCAACCATTTGAACCTGCTAGTGAAGCAAAAAAACAAAACAAACAGTCTTCAGTAATGTGACACTAAAGCCACGTGAGTGGCGTTTGTGCATGCCAGGACAGACCTGTGAAACATTAATGAGCAGGACAGTCAGAAGCACAGTGCACACTGAGCCACCATAACAGCTGTACACAGAGCTATGGGGACCATGGAGGAAACTTTGAAGTGTCCTGTGTGCCAGGATTTCTTCATTGATCCTGTGACGCTGCAGTGCGGGCATGACTTCTGCCTCACCTGTATACAGGCTGTCTGGGAAACCGATGTGTCTGATGAGGGGCCTTTCTTCTGCCCGGAGTGTCAGATATTTCTCCCCTCTGACCTCACTCTGAAGATAAATGCAGACCTTCAGACCAAAGTAAAGGACTTCACCACTAAGACGCTGTCAGCAGCAGAGCGACAAGCAGCAGCTTCAACTAGTGAAACTAAATCATCATCAACTATTTGCTGTGACCACTGCATAGAGATGCCATCAGTAGCCATAAGAACATGCCTGACTTGCGATGCCTCGCTGTGCCAGGCTCACGCCCTGCTCCACCAACAGAGGTCTGCTCTAAGGGAGCACACAGTGGTGGAGGTGACCAGCGATCCACTGTCTCTGAAGTGCAGGGAGCACCGCGATGAGCTTAAGCTCTTCTGTATGGAGGAAAAGGTACCTGTGTGCTGTTTGTGTGTCCTGGTTGGCACACACAAACATCACAAAGCCTCTGAACTGCATGAAGCCAAAGCAGACTTTAAGGTGATTATTATAATCTCTTTTCATTACTTGTGAGGAATATTTATCTATTTTCTTCCTGTTGTTTTTTGTTTGTTTGTTTGGTTGTTTTACCAGAGGCATGTTGTATTTCTGTCTCCAGAGTATGCTTGAGACCACAATGAACCAGCTACTAAAGAGGAGAAGTGAAGCCGAACATGCCATCAAAGACCTGGAGTCACTGTATACACAAACAGTGGTACAACCAATACAGAAATCACACTCTTAAATTGCTTAACTTTTTAAATTGATGGAAGCCATTCTTGTTTGTCTAACAATGCATTTATCTCATAGACCTCTGCTGCAGAGTTTAGAGAGAGAATCTCAGACAAGTACAGCAGAATCCACGTCGTGCTGAATGGCGATGAGCGTCTAATGATGCAGATTATAGACGCAGAGGAGACATGCATGACAGAGTGGCTGGAGGCCCAGAGGAGCATTGTAGAGGCTCAGATCAAAGAGATAGATGCATTCAGAGCCTCCAGCAAATCACTTCTCCAGGAAACCAATGATCTGCGGTTTCTGCAGGTAGGGTTTACATGATCACTTACCGTGACCAGAAGTGTAGCACAAATATAGCTCAAATGTTTCCTGTTGTTTTCAAACAGCAAATCACATCACAGAATCTTTGGTGAGTATATTGCTGAGTCCAGTTTGTAACCTGAAATTGCCCATGCTTTACGCTGCTCCATATTATTATTCACTGAGCCTTCCTGTGGTATGATTTTTATTTTTATTTGCAGTGATCCCTTGGAATTTGCTCCAATCCGAGAAGTAAACAGAGACCTCTGTGACCCTGAGAAGCTGAGAACAGTAGAGAGGCTGGTGGATGAACTCTCGGTCGCTCTGTCCCAACATTTTCCACGAATGTGGTCATGTTAGTAAAGCTTTTTTCCTTTGACATTCTAAATCCAACTCTCATTATCATTATAACTGTGTAAATATTTGTATTTGCAGACTTAAGTTCTCCTCTCCTAGACTTCAAAACAGCTCATCCAAAGCTGGAGTTATCCCAAGACAGAAAACAAGTGTACTGGAGACGCCAACCTTTCGGTGAAGGACAGAGCCCTCAGCCATATGACTCACAGTATAGCGTCCTTGCTCAGGAGAGTTTTACAGGTGGCCAGCATTACTGGGAAGTCATTGTCCAAGACAAGCCCTTCTGGATGATAGGTGTGACCACGGGGTCAGTCGATAAAAAAGCCAGTTTAAGCCAGAGTTCTTCCAGTCTGGGTGTAAATAACACATCTTGGTGCATCTACCATGGAGACGGACAGTACCTGGCGTGCCATGATACTCAGGAAAAGCAGCTGTCAGTTGGAAAGAGAGTCAGAAAGCTAGGCATACTTGCAAACCTCCAGAAGGGGGAGCTGTCATTCTATGATGCCGACGCTATGAGGCTGCTTCACTCCTTCTGTGTGCAGTGCACAGAACCTCTCTATCCCATTTTTAACCCATGCATTGATATGAATGGAGTCAACACACAGCCTCTTACCTTGTTTTGGATAAAGGACCCCTGGGATTGGCATACACGTGAGGAGAAAAGTGAACTCACAGGAACCATTTAACTGCCTCTGTGGGATGCAGAGTCACTGATCAAATAATTCTTTTAAGTGTAATTTTCCATTTGTGCTCACATAAAATTACATTGTGAAAATGTCCAGCGTGCTGTACAAATCTAGGTTGTCAAAAATATTGACTACCACCAAGTTTCCGTGGTTGGCTTTGACTCTGGTAAAGCTACAACGGCTTTTAACGAATATACCTACCTCTAACGTCTTGCTAAAATTAGGTTATATAATAATATATGAGAAGACACATCTGCAGACATATCCGTACCGTGACTTTATAATGTCAAGACTAAAGTTATGTAATCATTGCAGCACTGCCGTTTCTGCAGTTGACATGTACGCTAAATATTTCATTAAGTGGTATCAGGTTCAAACAGTGCATTTGCTCTGTGGCAAAGTCGATCTCTTTCTGCAGCTTAGCAGCTCTCATGTGTGCCTTGATGCAGTTCATAAAGTAAATGACCCGTGTGTAAACTGCTCATCAGACCATGGAGGACATGCATGCCTTTAGTCTCACATGTCAATGGCCCTACAGAGTTGTTGCCCTGCACCAGACAATACACTGAGGTCAAATAACACGAACAGTAACGCTATATGTCTAGAAAAGATTAAGACACTTAACAATCTGATTCACACAATTCTTTGTGCATCACGCTTTTGCTCATTGTAAATATAAATAAATACCTTTCTGCAGAAGAAGAAGAAGTCTGAAAGTTCACATTCAACACAATTAGAAAATATAACTCTCTCTTTTTTTGTAAACAGTAACATTATGCACCCATCACAGGGTTTTGAAAGTTCAGCCACCCTAGGGCTTGGTGAGGGCATACAAGAACAACACAGCACATCAGAAAGAAGAAGCATTTATTTGCATCATGTAATAATTCTGCCACAACTTTAGGACATTTTCAGTTCAGTGATGCAGCTTGCCCCATTTTCCAGAGGAAACATGGTATAGCTACTTATATTGTGAGATTTTCTTTTCCATTCTTTGTTTCACACATATACAGCCACTCAAACACACTGTGCTTAATTAAAAAAGTAATTCAAGCCTTAGGGTTTTTTCCATGCATGCATCATTTATGTTATAATAGCGGATTTCAGATTTTTCCATCTTTTATGTGTAACTGATAAGACAATCCAGCTAATATCCAGTACATTTATGAATAGTTTGAATAATCATATAATTTGATTACATTTTAGGAAAAGCGTACAGTGTGTAGTGGTTGGAGATCTGGCGGGCATATTATTGAGAAACAAAGGTTGCTCAAGGAATTGCTCCTTCAGTATTTGCCTTGATCCAGTCCAGGAAATGAGTGACCCGTGTGTAGACCCCAGGCTTGTTCTTCTTCCCGCACTGGTCTCCCCAACTCACCACTCCATAAACAACATTAGCGTTGTTCTGCATGCACGTCAATGGTCCTCCAGAGTCCCCCTGAAACAAAATTGTACAGCTGACTATATGCTACTACTGGAACTAATGTAATAACTTTCTGTAGATGCGTTAGTAATATACATGTTATAACAGCATCAAACCATCAAATGTCCTAACCTGGCAGGAATCCACCCCTCCCTCCAGGTAGCCAGCACAGAACATGGAATTGTCCAGCATGTTCCCATAAACAGAACGATCAGAGCACTTTTCCTGGTTGATCAGCAGGACATTGGCCTCCAGCAGGTGGCTGGAACCATAATCAGCTGCAAAGATAATGCAGAAATATATTACGGGGTAACCCTTGTTTCTTTTTTTCATATTTCATGCCCACTTCCAGAACAAAATGAGTGAATGTTCATTAAAAGTTACTGAAGGTGATCTCTGCCTGTAAAGCTAGCTATGGATACCACTGGAAAAACCCAGAACCTGTTGTAATGGTCGTCTGACCACATCTGCGTTGATATATTGAGGTGTCAAAAGTTGTCGTTAAGGAGAGGTCATCAAATGTTGGAAAAGAGTTCAAGCTTCATTTAAAATGGTAAATGGCCTGTATTTGTATAGCGCTTTACTAGTCCCTAAGGACCCCAAAGCACTTTACACAACCAGTCATCCACCCATTCACACACACATTCATACACTGGTGATGGTAAGCTACATTGTAGCCACAGCCACCCTGGGCCGCACTGACAGAGGCGAGGCTGCCGGACACTGGCGCCACCGGGCCCTCTGACCAACACCAGTAGGCAACGGGTGAAGTGTCTTGCCCAAGGACACAACGACCGAGACTGTCCAAGCCGGGGCTCGAACCGGCAACCTTCCGATTACAAGGCGAACTCCCAACTCTTGAGCCACGATCGCCAATAGAAAATGTCAAGTGTTTATCAAATAAGCCAAATTATGTACATGAAAAATGGCAACCTTTTTGTAACCTTACATACATTGCTCAGTAGCACCCCATCCAGAGATTTTGCACTCCGTCCCATCAGGCAGTGGCGCATTTGGTAGACAGGCTGTTTTCACAAACTGGGTCTCATTGGCACAAAAACCAGGAGTCCCACTCAGCTTCAACAAGCCTTTAGGAATATGTGTGAGATATAAATGTCACAACAAACTCAAAGAAAGAACATCTGAACAAAATGACAGAGACATTTGAGACAAGTATCACCTATATCATTGTAAACAGCTTCACTGGTCACCCTGTAGTTTGGATTTTTAATAGTCCTTTCGACAGGTATGGTCTGAGTTCCGGGGTCTGGCTTACTCACTGAGAGACTTCCAGCCAGCACCTGCATGTCCTTGTTTGGTTCACTGTGCAAATAAAAAACAAAAGGGTTCAGTCAATATTACGTTGTCTTACTTCTAATCTGCCATTAATCTGGTTCTTCAACCTTGCAGCCTTACATGCAGTGTGCAGCTGTCAGCACCCAGCAACTTGCGATGAGAATTCCTCCACAGACATGTCTGAATGGCTGAGCGGAGCCCGTTGGCTTCACTTGCACAGAAACCTGCCAGGGTATAGCTCCTGGACTGACTTTCAGACCCCCAAAGATTCGGGTAAGAGCCTTTTTTGGCTGAGGTATGCCACAGGTGGCAAACTGTTTTGGTCCAGTAGTCGGAGGGAGAGGTGTCACAGAAGGGTGGATGGGCTTCCCAGTTGATGGTATGGCAGTTGCTGGCAGCTTACCAGTAGGTTCTGGCTGCGGTGGTTTAGGCTGTGTTGGTACTGGCTGCGGTGGTTTAGGCTGTGTCGGTATTGGCTGCGGTGGTTTAGGCTGTGTCGGTTCTGGCTGCGGTGGTTTAGGCTGTGTCGGTTCTGGCTGCGGTGGTTTAGGCTGTGTAGGAGCAACCTCAGTCGGCGGCCCATCTGAAAACACAGATCCAAGAAGATGGCACAGATGTTTTGCTGGCAACACTCAAGACCAAAATGTTGCCCATCACTTTAAAACTCACGTGTCGATACAGGACATTTTGGCACATCACAGTAGTCCCACAGTAACCTGTGGCCTCTTCTGAAAAAGCACCAGGGCTTTGGCTCTCCGTCAGGGTTCCTGAATCAGAAAACGTCACTGAGGCAGACCTCTTATAGGTGTTTTCTGCACATTGTATAAATGGAGTTACTTCTGACCTGCAGAAGTTGTGAGGGCCAAGGCCGTCTTTGTCCTCAAAGGAGGTGAAGGGATTAACACCCGATGCCAGGATGAAGTGGGAGTTCCAGTAGAGGCACTCATCACCATCATCCGTCTCGCTCACATTGCCACGATATGACTCTCCATCGTCCACATAGCAGTCGTTTGGACCTGAGAAATGTAAATTACTCAGTGAGTCAATGAATTATGATAAATATATATGAAGAAAAACTGTAGAATGAATTATTTACCAACATGGCAGAAATGTCCTCCGAACCCTTCGGGGCAATGGCAGTCAAAGTCATTTTCATCTCTGACGCATGTGCCACCATTTTTACATGGATTAGGATTACAAACTGAAACTTTGGAGAACAATAAAACAAAATTTAGGCTGTTGTTCAGTAACTGCTAAAATCCTCACCAAAGAGGAATTTGGGCTTTTTAAAAAAAATATATATATATATATATCAACATACTAGTTTTGCAGTCTGGAGGCTGAAAGGGTCGCTTGCATTTGCACTCATAGTGCGGAGGAGTTGAAGTCAGTACACATTCGCCATACCCGCATTGACCTCTTTTACAAATTCTTGGACCTTAGAGAATAACACCATTAGGATATTTTTAATAACATTAATTCAGTTTGTTTTTTTACACTTTGCATATATATATATGCAATTTGACAAAAGAATGGAGAGGAGCGATTTTTTTCTTCACACCTCTCTCGCATTTTTTTCCCTTGTAAGGTTTGGGACAGTCACATTTGAACTTTCTCTTGCCTTTCTCCTTACACACACCATTGTTAAGGCAAGGATTTGGGGTGCACTGGCCTGAGAAATAAAAAATGACAACACACCGTAATGTCAAAATTAAACCTTTCCTCTGTAGCATTAGAAGAAAACATGCCACAGATTTGCACGAGACGTTTGTTAGTATCTTACCGTCTAGGTCCAGAAACTTATCAAGCCAGTCTGAATGACCATTTTCATCATCCTCATCATCCTCATCCACGACCTTAAAGAAGAGATCTAGAACAATACTTTCCTTTAGATTTACAGTTTTAATTCTTTAAATACTACATTTCAAACCATTTTCTATATATGTTACAAAAGCAACATAAAGGAGTACTAACCCTCAATTATATCTTTAAACCTTCCTTTTGGTCTCTTTTTCTCATGTTTCCCATGTCTTTCAGGCCGTGCAGAGTCCCGATGTCTGTCTTGTCTTTCAGGACTTGAAGACTCTGGATGTCTGTCATGTCTTCCAGGATGCGAAGAGTCCCGATGTTTGTCGTGTTTATGTTTCAACTACATTTTTTAAGGAATTGCAGATGACAGCATAACATAAGAGCACGTACACATCCAAATAACTATCTCTATCACGCTATATATTCATGTCTAGCTGTCTAGCTGTATATGTGGCTAAAGCTATTGACTTAACCTTTTTAAACAGAAACATGATCTACTGTGTTTTTGACAGAAAATGCCACAATGTAAATAACATACAACGCATGTGATTATTAAATTCAGTTAATACATACTTCAGCAGGTATGAAGAGCACCGCTAAGAAGAGACAAAGGAAGAGGAGCTTTAGGTTCATGATGGCAGTTGACCAGAAGACATGTAGGAGAGTAACATGAGAGTGAGCTGACTGGGGGAGCCCTCGCACTTTTCCAAACATTTGGTAAGTACACTAACCTTTGAGATAGCCCTTTCTTTCTGTCTTTTTTTTTTCTTTTTTTGTTTTTTTTGTCTGGCATCCATCCGTGTTGCTGAGTCAGTTGTATTGATTATAACTGAGCTCTTAGATAGTTACCTTTATGGTCCTACATAATAGGAAAAATTCAGCTGAGTTTACCAATCGCTTGTGAAAAACACATTTAAAATCAAAAGATATCTTCCCCCAAATGCTGACTTTAAGTTACTATATCTACATGAATGTTTTCCATGTAGTTTTGGTTACATAAGTACAGTGTAAACATTACATTTCAGGAAATGTGGTCAAATAAATTTACTTGATTGGTATACATTCATGTTTATACCAAGTATATTTTTCTTAATGATTAATTGTTTAAATAAATGAACATTTAAAATTTATACATTTCAGCTGCATTAAAAAAATGTCTTAATGTTTATTAAGGGCAAAAAATCTTCTTTTTTTTAGTCTAATGGAGCATAATAACTGTGTCTGCCAGCCTGAACAAATTCCTCACATCAAAAAATGTTAAGTGAAATAAAAGATAATCTGCCAAGCATACCCAGGTGCAGAGAGCATG